GCCTGCTGAAAGCCAAAGGATTCTCTGTCTGTGCTTGACCCTTCCCAGGAGCCGGTATCGGATTGCTCCAGGATAGAGGACACCAAGTACAGTCGCTCAGCAGGAGGCTCCATCCACACTGCAGACTCCCGCTTTGGAACCACCAGGCCAGGCTTGCTAGAGTGCAGGGCCTGGCAGGTTCCCACTCAGTAGGTCTGAGACAGAGTCAGCCATGTGCCTTGCTGGCAAGTGCTCAGACAGAGCTGTTGCTATCAGTCCTGGTCTTCTCAATGAGAAGCAAGTGTGAAGAGGAGATCGGAAGCCAGAACATGCCCAGTTCAAATCGCAGCTCAGCCCCCTGCACCATGACCTTAGAAGAAATTACTTTAATCTCTCTCTCGGCTTGCTTTGTTCTGTGTAAGATGGTACAGTCCTTTGGATGACTTCACAGAGTAAGTCTGTAGGGTTTTAAAAAAACAATAGTATTGCCACTTGTTACGGGGTGCCCCCTCCTGTCTGTTTGCCACACTGCTGAATGCACTGTCCTATTCCTCCACCTCCAGCCCCCACCCAGCCACCTGTCACTGTCACCCAAGAAGAGAGGTGACAGGAACAACTTTGCTTTCAAGGACCTTGCCTTCTCGAGAAGACAGACCCGAAACACGAAGGACATTGTCCGAATTGACGTCGGGTGAGGGAGCTGTGCGGGCAGCGGAGAAACGGGAAGGGCCTTGCAGCAAGAGAGTACATGGTGCATTTGAAGAAAGAGTCCACTGTGGCTCGAGCTGAAGGGGGCAGGAAACTAAAGCCGGGCTGGGAGTGGTGAAGACGAGGACAGATGAGCCCAGACTCAGGAAGCAGAGGCAGGTGGAGCTCTGAGTTTGAGGCCAGTGTCAGTTCCAGGACAGCCAGGGCTTCACAGAGAAACCCTGTATCAGTAAACCACCACCACCAAAAACAAAATAAAACAAAACAAAAAACCCCCAAACCAAACTAAACCAAAACACCCCTGGGAAGTTCTGAGCTTAAGAGTGGCCCCATCTAACAAGATGGGGAAGGGCAACTCCAGCTGGTTGTGATTAGATGTCAGAGACCCACCCCACCCCCACCCCAGGGAGAAAGGAAAAGTGCTGGGAAGATGCCGTTGTGAACAGCATCCTCCGTGGCTCCAAACACTAAGCTGATCTGCTTCCTGTCACCCCTTGCACCTATGCAAAGGAGTCAGTTTTCGCCCTTCTTCTAGATGGAGGTGGACAGACCACCCTCCTCAGGCCACTTCCGGTTAATAAAAGGGTCTGAGGTACTTTCCCTCAGAAAATACTTTAGAAGCTTTCCACAGATATGGTTTCCATTATTAAGAGCCTCCTCCTGGCCATATTTCTCTTCCTTCAAAAACAGCAAGACCACTATGTTTCCTAATGCCATTACTGTGTTTGCTATTAAAGCAGTAGATATTACGATCGTGAGCAGCAGAAAAGTTCATGATTTGATGTCTAGGGGAAAGTGCTGCTGAGGTTTTTATGGATGCTGGTGTGTTTTTTCATCTCACGCCTCTGTGCTCATGCTAACATGGAATTGACTCCACGGGGCCATATTTTTAATATATACTTTTTATCTTATGTATTTGAGTGTTTTGTCTGTTTGTATGTATGTGTACCAGGTATGTGTCTGGTACCTGAGGGGGTCAGAAGAGAGCATCAGATCCCTGCCACTGGAGTTACAGGTGGTCAGCCTCTCTGTGGGAGCTGGGAACAAGCCTCAGGCCTCTGCACAAACAAGTGCTCCTAACTGCTGAGCTCCTGCTCCTGGGGCCATATTCTAATAGCTTAATATTATATCACGAATACCTCTTGATGGCATTAAGCGGTCATTCATATATATATATATATATATTGAGAAGAATCTCACTATGTAGCCCTGGCTGTAGGGGATTCACTATGTAGATCAGGCTGGCCCTAAAGTCACACAGAGATCTGTGTGCCTCTCCCTCCTGCCTCCTGAGCACTGGGATCAAAGAAGTATGCTGCCACACCTGCCTCATTAAACATATTTTAACAATGTATAACTTTTAATATCAGCACAATGTTCCAGTCTATGAATATGCCATAATCTAGCAAATGGGTTGACCACTTACGTTGCTTCCAACTTTTTTGTTTATTTCTTTGTGTAGCCTTGGCTGTCCTGGACTTTGTAGACCACGCTGGCCTTAAACTCACAGAGATCTGCCTCTGCCTCCCCGAGTGCTGGGATTAAAGGCGCGCACTACCACGCCTGACTTTGTTTCCAGCTTTTAAATATAGATCATAAACAACTTCAATGAGCCTTCTGGTGAAATCTTGACATACATTTTTTTTTCCATGTGTTTCAAGGCATGCGATACTCTACCATTGCCCCCAGGGTGACTGCATTAGAGAGGGAGGCAGCTCATCTGTGCTCAGTCACCGCCCTCACCAAGCAGTGCTTGTGCTCACCACTCCTAAGAGCTGACAGCAGCAGAAACAATTTTCTATTTGAATGTCTTTTTTTTTTTTCTTGCCCAATTGCTTTGTCTACAATCGCTAACACTACGGTGAGAATAAGGACCTTTGGTTTGCTCCTCCCCTCAAAGGAGAGGCTTTAATGTTTCCCTGTTTGGTATGATATTGGCTGTGGAGTCATATGTTGTCTATAATCATAATAATTGTATCATTCAGCGCCTCTTCTTTTACATAAAAGTTATTGACTTTTCCTACATCTATTCAGGTGAGCATCTAAGTTTTGTCTTGCGTTATATAGTGGTTGAACATTTATTGACTTGTTTACTACATCATCTCTGCATCCCAAGAGTAAATCACAACTGATTATGGGGAATTCTCCATTTCCAGCATTTTGGTGAGGGCTTTCGCAACTGTGTTCATTGAAAGGAATAGTGGGCTGTAATTTTTTTTTTCTTGTCTTTTTCTGACTTTGCCATTGAGGCAAGGCTGGCCTTGTAAAATGAGTTTGAAATCATTCTTTCTGCTTCACTATTCTTGGAAGAGTTTGAGAAGAGTTAGTGAAGGTTCTTTGACTGTTTGATAAAGTTCAGCTGTGAGGCTATCAATACCAAAATGCCAAGTGGGCCAGGTGTAGTGGCACATGCTTTTAATCCCAGCACCTGGGAGGTAGAGGCAGGCAGATCTCTGAGTTCAGGGCTAGCCTTGTCTACATAAGTTCCAGGACAGCCAGAGCTACATAGTGAGACTCTGTCTCAAAAAAACCAATGAATGAATGAATGAATGACCACTCCACTCATCCTCTCTTGAGGCATACTGTGCTCTCTGGTTCCTCTATAAGTGAGGAGGCAGCTTCTTGCATCCACTCTTTAATCTCAATTCTGGTGATTAAATTTAATTTTGTTGTGTTGTTTTAATATAGAAACATCCCAAAGTTACCCTGATCACACAAGAACGGTGGGCTGTTGAGGCCAGTTGGGGGAAATGATTCAGATGGATAGTTGGGGTCCTGCTCTACATAGAAATGGAGGTTCAGTCAGACCTGTTTGGACCCAGAGGGGCTGGTCTAGGCTAAGAATGTGGTAGTGGGTGAGCCCATCCTTTCTCACCTTGGGACAGAAGGGGGGCTCATCAGGGAATTGTGCCAGGTCTGTACAGTGATGGGAAATGGATGACACTGTTTGGCCTCTCCCCACCACCCGCCCTCCCCTCCCTGGCTGCTCCCAAATGACTCACCCTTAAGTGTCTCTGGTGATGCCTGAGTCAGGGCCTGCGGCTGCAGCACCTGTCACTGTGGGTGGGCTGGGTGAGCCAGTGGCTCCTTACTCTGTTGTCGTTGTCACTAAGGCTACAGGCTGTCGCAAGGGACTCCTCCACATCTTCTACCCTAGCCAGTGGCCATCTCCCACAGTATGGCTGTGTTTTCATGTTGCTCAGCACACATAGCCTTCTTCTGTTTCCCCAAACAGTCGTAGATCATTTATTTATCCTTCTAAATTAAAGTAGACCAGAGTTTATTTTGTTGTAGTCCTGGCTTGGCTGTGATTAGCCACAGTGTTTGGAAGGAGAGACTGTGAATTGAAGGCCTGTGAGTCAAGGAAAGGTTGTGCTGGCCCGCTCTTCATTGTTATCACAGCAGCCTCTGCTTGCTTTGTTTTCAATTAAGCTCCCCGTTCTCCATTCTGCAGGCCACCTGAGTCAACTATACCTTACTCCAAATTCCCAGGGAAAGAAAACCAACTGGACAACTGGGCTCCACATCTGCCCGGCCATCATCTGGGTCCTAGGCGTGTTCAGGAGAGCAAGGTTTTGGAGCACATAGGAGCAGGAAGTGGGGTGGGGTCTGCACAGAACAGCAGTAGTGCTGGGATGGGGAGAAAAGAGAAGTTGAGCATCACTTGGTTCCATACACAGTGACATGGAGGCCTGCGGAAGAGCACACCATCACCAAAGGTAGCCTAGGCACGACCTTACCAGGAACAGCCACTGTGACTCACTGCCCTGGCTTGGCTGTGGGGCCCTCAGTGCTGTGGAGCTTGGCTGTGAAAGCTTGGGCAAGGCCAAGGGATCTGGAGACCCCTCCCTGCTTACCATCCTCAGACCTGGAAAAGGACTGCACAGCAGACACACAGGAGATGGTGCCTCAGCTGCTCCAGGCCGCAACACCCTAGTTCTTTGTTCCTCTAAACTGAGTTGAGAAGAAAGGACCTGAAACTGTTGTAGTGCAGAATCTAGAGCTTGGATTAAGGTGTATATAGGAATATGGGACCTGGGGAAGGAGGGCTCTGGCAATAGGCATACAAAATACTAAAAGATTCATGGAGTCAGGAATGGTGGTGCATGCCTGTAAAATCCCAGCATCCAGGAAGGAGGTGGCTTGAAGGAGGTTCAGGGGTTCAAGACCAACCTCAGTTGCTAGCTTGAGCCACACGAGGTCCTGTCTCAAAACCAAAACACGGGCAGGGGGAGTCCCACAGAACATGGTGGCTTGTTTGCTATGAGAAAGAGAGAAGGCATAAATGACTCGGCAGTACCAATATGCTTTGCAAACGCATGTATTCATCCACAACCACCACCAAGCAGCAGAAGCGGAGAGCATCCGTGAGCTCTGCATCGTTCCTGTCTTCTCTCACTTTCTGCTCTTCTGGGAGAGGTCATCAGAGCTTTCAGAGAAAGAGAGAGAGAGAGAGAGAGAGAGAGAGAGAGAGAGAGAGAGAGAGATCACCAGGCTTTGCACTGCAGCTCAGTGGAAGAACGCTTTCTTATCATCTGGGAAAGCCTGGGTTTGTTCCTCGGCAAAGATGTATGTGTGTGAAGGAATCAGTCAGTTTATGGAGGCAACAAAGGGATCAATGGAGTATTACTAAGGAAAGATGGCTCCCTTATTAGCTCACTTTGGACTTTGTACTTTAGTCACCTTCTCAGGAATCCTCAAAATAACCCAAAGAGCTCCAGGTAGGAGTGCTGGACCCAGCTGCCCAGGGCCTAAGCCCTGAGGAACACTCCCGCTCTCCTGATGTCTCACCCAGGGCACTAAGTGGACAGGCAGACAGATGGATTAACGGAAATCCTGCTGGGACCATGCTCCAGTGTGGGGCTAGAGATTCACCTGTGCTCTGGCTGTCAGGAGCCAGGACAAGGGCCCCTGTTGTGACTTTGGGCCAAAAAGAGATCTGGGAGCACAGGTGGGGGAATTTATCCCTGACTGTGTGGAGCGTGACAGGACAGGGAGGCCTTGGAGAGACAAGGTGGACAGAGCCTGGGGGACAGGTCAGAGCTGAAATCCTGAGGCTTACAGCTACCTGCCAAAGACTGTGATTTGAGATCACGGTTCAAGTTCATTCTTCTTTCCAGTAAAGTTAACATTGGTTCCTCTCAAACAAATTTGTATTCTCATCTCAGCCATCCTAGGAATAATGAGGTAACAGGTGAATGCTAATAAGCAGAGGGCTGGGGGAAACATTCTCTAATTAATCAGATTATGATTATAGACACTTGATTCAGAGGAAGAGAGGTTTTATTTATTTATTTACTTACTTAATAAAGGACTGGGCGGGTTGTGTTTTGGGGTCACAGGGGCTTTCTCTTTCCAAGCCAGTTTTCCTTTCTGCCATTAATTAATGAATATAGATTTTCGATTAGAACCAGCCTGATTTCTTTCAGTGTTAACTTGAATTTCAATTTCTGACCCTTGAAGGCTGATGCTAATCAAATACTACGTACTTATTATTTCTGGGGCCCCAGGATTGAGAAAAACAGCCTGCAATTTCCCAAGATGGAAGACAAGTGGCTCCCTAGAAAACAGTAAAGGGCCGCGGGAAAGTGCCTGCAGGTTGTCCACAGTGCAGAAGGCAGGTGCTGTGCTTTAGATGTTTATCTGTATCTCTGAAATAAACCTGCATTATTTCTGCCTTGTTCTATTCATTAGGTACCCATCCTGGGTTACCTAGGTGGGTTCAATGTGATCGCAAAGGTCTTTAAGAAAAACCAGAAGGTGAGACTTGTTAGTGTGATACAACTTGGACAGACCCCATCAGCTGAGGCCGTTTTCGAAGATGGGAGGCAGCCATTAAGGCTGGGAAAGGCAAGGGCAGATTCTGAGTGCAAAGCCTCAGCAGTAACGTAAGTCCTGCTGACACTTTGCTCTTAGCAGACTGAGACACATTTCTTGTTGCTCTCAGTCATTCCATAAATCCATTTATGGTCATCTGTTGTGCCAGGGCTAGCCCCATCTGCTGCCTCCTGTTGGCCTCATGTTCCGTTGCTGTCCTTTAGTATGGCTGCTCTATGATATACAATGTGCTGTGTGTTAACCATATCTCCTTTAAAGCTACAAACCCCTTGGAGTAACAAGGACCAAGCAGTGTTTTAGTTTTAGTTTTAAAAAGTGTATTGGAAGCACCAGATGCATTTGCATGACTCTGTTGTCTTTACAAACCTGACTGATTAGTAAACTGTCTACAAGTGGAAGCATCCAACAAAATAAATGAAGGAATTGCTGTGCAATGAACACAGAGACCCGTCAAACCAAAGCCAAAGCGTTAGACGCGTGGTGGAAGAGTCACTAAAATACTGTTTTCTCTGCATTCCTTCCCGCTCATGTGAAGCTAGCAACCCATTTTACCTTCCCTCACTTAGGGGCTTGAGGTGGGCATAGAGTAGAAAAGAAGAGACTGAAGGTCACAGGCTCATCTCTAATTCCTGTTTGATTGTTCGAGACAGGGTCTCACTGTGTAGCTCTGGCTGGCCTAGAACTTGCTTTGTAAACCAGACTGGCCTTGAACTCATAGAAATCTGACTGCCTCCGCCTCCCGAGCGCTGGGATCAAAGGCCAGCACCAGCATCCCACTTAGCGAAGGTCTTTGAAAAGACACTGCTCCTTTGGAGTAGAGGGAGGGAGGGAAGGAGGGAGAAGAAACCCTCAAGGGGAAAGGTGGTGATTCTCACCAGAGCCCAAGAAGGACACCAAACTGTTGTGTGATAAGACCCCAGAGGAGCAGTGCAGCCCTGCCGCACTGAGGGGCAGAGATTGCTCGTGTTACCCGTGACATCCGTGGCACTTTGCAGGAGCCAAGAATGTGGGGGAGCAGCAGGCAGGGCAGCGGGAGGGTGTCTTGAGTCTATCCAGGGTGGTGCGCATACCTTTGGGGGTGTCTCGAGGCTCTGACCTGGGGAGTTTTAGGGCCCACTGGAGTGGAGAAAGGCAAGTGTGGGGAGCACTCAGAGAGAATGTCCCCCTAGCCGGCAGGAAGAGCAGCTGGAGTCCGAAATATGACGACTTAGTGCAGAAAGAGTAATGTTCCGGTCCCCCAAATGTTAGGCCGGTGCTCAAAATGGTGACAATCTTTTTGACTTTTAAGTGAAAGCCTTTAATCTCCAGGTGAAAGCCCGGTTGTGGGGGTGGGAGGTTGTTTAAGGGGGGCAGAAAACCCTGCTGTGCAGCTCTCGGAGAGGGGAGAGGATGGAGTGGAGCTGTCGGTGGGCTCCACGGCCCTGCTAGGTAGGAAGCACGAAGTCCATCTCGTCGGGGTTGAAGTACAGGTAAATCATAAAGCAGCCCCAGAGGACAACGGTGAGCATGGCGCCGAGGTGTGGTGCGAAGGTCTCCTGCCAGGTGGGAGAGATGTGGGGGACCTGGGGCCAGATTGGGGCGACAGCAGAGAGCACGCCCTCCCGCCTCACGCCACATCCTTTACGCCCGGGGGGGGGGGGGGGGACGCTGGCTGGCAGAGTCCACTCACGTCCCTGTTCCCTGTACCACCACAGGGGGGCCTGGCTGCAAAAGGAAGCTGAAGCGTCCTCCCTTTGGGAGGACGAGACACCCAGCTGAGAAGGCGCTTCTCGCGTGGGTCTACCTACCCCCGACTGCTGTTGGTCTTTAGGGCACACAACACACATTTCTCCTGTGGAGGACAGAAACGGCACAAGAAAGACTGTTTGAGGGCACCTCATCAGGCTCTGCTAGAGGAAAGGGCAGAGTGAACTGAGCGGAACCCGGGAACAGGCACAGCCAAGGGCTGACACACCACAGCCTAGGAGGCGAGGCAGCTAAGGTTTCTAGACTAAGGGATGCCTGGGGTGGGGTGGGGTAGGCCAGCCCTTTAAAGCAGGAGCTCTGGGGAAGTCGGGGCAGGAGCAGCTCAGGGCTCCGGAACCAGCACGGAGGCCGGGCAGGAAGTCACTTACGCAGCAAGTCGAACACGGGTGGAGGGGATCCAGCGCAATGTTCTTTGTTTTCTGGGCCGCCATCACCTGGTCACTAGCCAGGGATACTCCGCCACAGTCTTCCGTTTTCTTGAGTCTGAGCGAGGAGTCCTCCTTTCCTATCTGTCCGAGTTCCTGCTGCTTCTTTGGTTGTTTCTGAAGGGGACTGGTGGGTCAGGAGGGGGCAGAGATTTGGGGAGGCTGTGCACCCAGCAACGTGAAGGGAGGGGTCCTCAGGGGCGAGGGTGACACTTACTGCTTGCTGGTACTCTGTATGTTTATCAAAACCTCCATCTTGTCATCCATATCCTTCTGCATCTCCTTCAAGAGAGAACCCGAGACTACAATCACCCCCTTCTGAAGAGCATGGCGGTCCTTCCTCCTTTCTCTGCAGACCACTGCTGCCTCCTACTTCAAGGATCCTCCCTAGAACTGGCCTAGGTGGTGAACGGGGCAAGTCCCTGACAGCCACCTTCCACCCTTGTTTCATGATGGAGACCAGAACGCAGGCAGAGGTACAACAGACTGACCAGACACACACACACACACACACAGACACACACACATTTAAAAAGATAAAAATAAACCATAAGCATGAAAGAGAAGTCACTGTGAGCTAAGAGAGTAAAGATAGCCTATAGAATTTGATGTGGGAAATGCTGGATAGAAAACAAAACAAAACAAAACAAACAGTGGCCATGAAACAGCCCTGAGGGTGCAGAAGCTGTACTCTGACCGTCTTCATTATGGAGAGAACTGAGTGTGGACTGGGTTGTCATAAAACACCAGTAAAAGCGATTTACTCCAGTGAAAGTGACTAGTATGAAGACTCCGGATGTGAGTTCATCTGATGCAGAGAGCCGACAAGGCCATTGGGTCCCCCCCCACCACCATTGGCGGGAGGGGGTTTCCGAGGACAGCCCTGTGAGTCTTTATAAACAGTATTGGGAATAGCATCAAAATCCAAGGTCAAACATGCCCCTCGGGCCGAGCAAGGACAGTCAGTGTCCTATACTGTGACCCAGCCACTCCTCCTCCACAGTCAGCCCGCCTCCTCACTCTGCGGCCATCTTCCCCACTGCCTTCTCCCCTCCAGACTCTGCTGTCACCGCGGGCACCTTGTCTCCTTTCAGCTCCTCCCCTGTGTCCCGCAGCCTCCTCTAGCCCCCTCCATCCCAGCTGGGGGCAGTGTCGGACTTTCCCCACCGGCTCGCACCTCCCAGGCCACCTTGCCAGCAGCTGCTGCCGGTGCTGTTCTTTAAGACTCTGCCAGACAGGTCCTGGCCTGTCAGCTGTTTGTGAGAACCCGTCACTGTTCGCTGTGTGCCTGTGCGGCTTTATTTCTCACTTTCCCCCAGACGACCCCGCTCCACGGCTGCTCTCCCCACTGACTGGGAAACACAGCCGTCTCCTGCTGTGCCCAAGCTGTTTCCTGCCCGAAATAGCTTTCTTTGTGCTTTTTCATCCCCAGAGTGGCCACTAATAAAAAATGCTTACGCTGTTTGCATGTTAATATGGAAACAGCACATGCCCTTTGCAAAAATTTGGATAAAGCAGAAGAATATTAATCTTCCCCCCTCCCAAAGCTACTATTTGCTTTTTCGGTACACTTCTTCCCAGTCTTTTTCCTACGTGTCTACTTATATTTTTGCCTAATTGAGATCAGCCTATGTATAGTACTCATATTTGATGTTAAGCATTCTTTGTAAGCATGCCTTTAATAGACCCTAATAGTAACGTATGGATAAACCATAATTTAGTTATTCCTCTACTGCTGGAAGTTCTGGTTGTTCCCCCACATTTACTTTTATCTATAATCCTGAAATGAAAATCATTTGTACATACTTATTCTGACAGTTTTTAATATTCTCATAAAAATATTCCAGTTTTGTGTAAATTAGTACTCTTATCAGTAGTTTATTTTCATAAATCCACACTTTGCTTATTCGAGTGTAAGTTACATTACTTAAAGTTTTTGGTGTTTTTTTTTTTTTAGATGCTGTGTATGTGTGTGTGTGTGTGTGTGTGAGTGTGTGTGGGGGTTATGTACACACGAGTCCAGGTGCCGCCCAAGGACAGAGGTATCAGATCCCCCTGGAGCTGGAGCTGTGAGCAGTTATGACACACCAGGGGTGGGTGCTGGGAAACTGAGGTCTGCTGCAGGGGCAGGACGCGCTCTGAGCCACTCAGCCACCTCTCCCGCCCCAACCATGTTCTCTGCCCTCTGTGTCTGTGTTCTGGACTCTGGCCTGTCTGTGCATCCCCTTACCCATTTGCTCATCTATTTCCTGTTGTTTTGTGTGAGATCTGTATTTTGTAGACTAAAAACCATTCATCTCTTACCACCCTGATAGAAAACTATTACTATTGTTTTAACATTCTATAATTGGTGTCTTTTCATCATAATTCTTCAAAAAATGTTTATATGACAAATATATTGATACTTTGTCTATTATAGCTTTTCCTTTCTTGTTTTTATTTTGTAAATTCACTTTATAAACCAGTTCGGCTTACACTGCTAGTGAACTGGTTTCTCCTCACGGAGTCAGGCAGGGTTCCTGTATCATTATATAATCCTCTTCTTCTCATTGACATTTAAAAATCACCTTTCATCACAGAGCTGAAGCCAGCTCAGTGGTTGAATGACAGCCTAACAATGTGAGACCCCAGGATCTTGTACCACCAAAAAAGAAATCACCTTTTATTATATTTAAAACTTTATGGAAATACTGTTTCCAGCCTTAATTGTACACTAGAATCCATGGGGGAGATTGAATACATAGGTGCTGGGACCTTACCCTCAAAGATTCTGATTTCATCGTTATGAGGATAACCTGCGTTTAAGGGGGCAGTCTGACTCTCCCGTCTCATTCCAAAGGGCAGCTGAGGTTGATGGGTGTGTTCAAGTGTTGGGGAACTGGTTTGCCCCCGTAGGCACATATGTAGATTGCTTGTGAAGAAACCAAGTGTGGGAGGTGAGGCCAGTGTGTGCTACAAGGACCGCCTTCATATGTATATGTGTGTGTACATATACACTATGCATACATATATAGATACACACACACAGCTACACACATACATACATCTTAAAATCATTTATGACACTTAACTCCACCTTGAAGACATTTCTGTAACGTATGGAGTCTGGGTGTGTGGGTGTTTTTAATATGCTCCTGGGGGGGGATTCTCAGGATTTCCAGCCCTAGCAGAGAAACCATCCCAGGGTTAGGGATGTACACTCCTTCGTTTCTCTGCTTATCATTAACCACCCTGATTTGATGACTGTGGGTTTATCACGAATCTTAATTATCCAGTAAGCCTAGTGTCCCTTAGAACTCTTGAAAATACTCTTAGCCATTGCCGTTTGCCTGCTTGTGCATCTACATCACTGATTCCCCAGCCCTATGGGGGAACGTAGGCCCTATCTGAAATGTGAACCTGAGGCTCTTGTCTCAAGTCACTCTGAAACAGACTAACCTTTGCAAACTGTTGCTCTATGGTCTGAATTCTCCTTCCTGTTTTCTGAGCCAAAGGGGAACCACACTGGGCCTTAGTTACCTTCATGCTAAGCTTCCAGCATGATCATGAGGCCTTCCGGCTCCCACTCTCTCTAAGGACTTCTCTCCTAACTCCCACTCTCATTACTCCTACCTCTAAACCCCTAATTAGCAGGCAGCCTGTGCCTTCCCTTCTAGTCTGTCTAGTGGGTTACAGACACCTCCAGGGCAGGGGCTGGCATCTCTGCCATCATTTCCCATGTGACCCACGGAAGGCATACAGTGAAGGCTTACCTTCATAATTTCCACAAATTCATGAAGCTTATCGAAATCTTTGTCCATGATATCCTTTATCTAATGAGGAAGAAAAGCACCATTTAACAAGGCACAAAGTGTGCTACCGAAGCCAGTCACAGAATCTTCTGGGCATTTTAAGTAAAGGACAGCAGCTGGCTCTTGGGAACAGATGAATAATGTGCTACATGAGCCAAGGACAGCAGCTGGATTGTGGGGACAGATGAATAATATTCTACAAAACCCACTTTCCTCCTGAGAAGCTTCTGAAGGGTCTAGGGTACAGGGACTGCCAGTCATCTCTATCGGCAGCCTTCCTCTGAGCACAGCTTGAATTAAGCTTGGTCCTCTGTTCCCCAAGTAAGCTATAGGTGATTGCATCATAGAAACAAAGGAGCTCCTTCCATGCAGCTTGCTCCAGGGAGATGCAGAAGGAGGATACAATTGATCTGCCATTGTCTCCAAATTCCTCCTCAGCCCCTCTTTATTGTTATTGCTGAGGTTATCTCCAAATTCCTCCTCAGCCCCTCTTTACTGTTATTGCTGAGGTTACGTCACCCCAACCTTAGTACACAAGGGAGGCCTTAGCCAACTGAAAAGGGCTTAGGCATGGAAGAAGTAAGAGATTAAGGCTCTACTCTGCCCAGGGCTGAAACACTATGGGGGAACAGGTATGGGTCAGGGTGTTGCTTTTCCATGCAAGTCCTCATTTCCTTTACTATCCAGAGCGAGCAAGTCCATTTTGCGCAAAGCTCTGCTTCTCTTCTCTGGCTGAAGCCTTATCATGTCACCTTTTTTATCTCTTCCATTTTTTCCTTGAGTTCTTCTCTCACATCCCTGAGTTCATTCTGGGGAAATGAATGTGAGAGACACACGATGAAGACAAGGGCAGGTCCTTGGGGCACTACCAAACAGAGGCAAGGAAAGGAAAGGACTGTGTTCAGACAGTGGGTCCGCGAAGAGACACGCTGAAAAGAGCATAGCTTTGGAAGGCTTCCCCAAATAACACACTCAGCCTAAGTCTAGAAACGGCAGACAAGTGGAACGTGAGGGTCCGCCAGTAAAGTACTAAGCACTGAAAGAGTGAGACACAGCAAAGAGACAGGATGGGGCTGGAGATGTCATCACAGTAAAGGAAGCCTGCTGCTCTTCTGGAGGACCTGTGATCCATTCCAGCACCGATATCTAGAGACTCATAGCTGCTTGTAACTCCAACTCCACACTGGCAAAACACGCCCAGAGTACACATGCATACACACACATATACACCAGAGAGAGAGGAGAGAGAGGAGAGGAAAGCAGAGGGAAAAAAAGAGAAAGAGGAAAGGAGAGGAAAGGGAAAGGGAAGGGGAAAGAGGGGAGAGAAGAGAGGAGAGGAGAGACTGAGACTAGCGGTAACACGTGACAGGGATTAGGACCCAGGCCAGCTGATTTTGTTAAAGTAACGAGACAGCTGGTGACATCAAAATGGAGGCTTTGTTAAATGACTTGATTTTGACAGTCACACACACACACAAAATATATAGGTGAACATGCTTGACTTTAGGAAATACACACTTAAGATTTGGGTAAACTTAACTCTCAAACGGTTTAGAAAACGTATGCCGTCATTAATTCCGGGAACCTGTGGAGGGTTGGTTTCAGGACCCTCTGTGATGAAGACTAAGGGAAGAGCCCAGGAAAGGGAGCCACAGCCAGGATGCCCACCTATTATCCAGACACGGTAGACTAGGAAGTAAGTACCCATAGCCGTTCCTCAGTGTCTGAGAAGAACCGGCTTCAGGAACCCTGCAGGTATCCAAATTTGCCAATGCTGACATCCCCTCCATTCTGTGCACCGTCCCATATACTTTAAACTATCCCTGGATCACTTAAATACACAATGCAACGCGAAGGCTATGCAAACCATTGTACTGTCTAGCGTGGGAAGTGATGGAAAGATATCTGTAATGTTTTACCGAATAGTTTTATTTTATTTTTTTACCAAATATTTTAAGCCACAGATGGGTTGGATTAAAGGCATGGAACCTATAGATAGGAAGGGCAGTATGTGTGTGTGTGTGTGTGTGTGTGTGTGTGTGTGTGTGTGTGTGTGTGTGCTTGCATGTCCATGGGTACACAGGGTTATGTGTAGAGAGGGAGACAGACAGAAATGGAATCAATTGGCTGAAAAATTGCCAGCATTTAGGGGATCTGGGTGAAATGTCTACTAGAATTCATTATACTGTTCTTTGTAACTTCTGGGTAATCCAAAGAGTTTCAAAGCAACAGGTTAAGAAAAGACCAAGAGCAGAGTCTCCCATCTGCAGCTGCCAGCAGCCACCAGCACCAGTTAGTGGGCCGGCCACCCCCTCACCACGCTGATCTGTCAAGCTGCCTGGGCCCACACACTGACCTTCAGCTCCTGTGTCATCCCTCTTTTGATGAATAGCCCTTCTTGCTTAATTCCTTTGTAATCACACATCTGTAGATTGAAACAGATACACAGAAGTACTGGAAATGGTGGATGCGGGTGGGAGCAGCTCAGGCCTCTTTCCTTCCCACCCCAAGGCCAGGCATGTTTCACACCCCATTCCAGGTGAGAGCCTGCTTTATGCCCTGAACAAAGAAAGAAAGTTGGAAGGCTCACGGGATCATTTCCAATATCCTCTGTGTCCTGCCTCCATTCGGCAGGAGCCCACAGAGGTCCCACAGTGCCCAGCACTTTTCTTCCTTTACCAGGTTAATTTTCTTCGGTTCTTCCCTCTTGGCCGACATGATGGAAGAAGAGCCAGGGTGTTCTTCACCTTCCCAACCTCCCCACAACAGAACCCTGAGACCAAGCAACCGTCCTGTGTATCTTACTGGCTTAGGCAAGGGTAGGGTGACCACCTCTTTGTTTGCGGAACAGCTGAGGTCACAATGCCAGGCCTCAGATGCTGGCCTGGAGTGTGACCAGCTTTGGGTCTGTCTGCTGTTGCCCCTGAGATGAATGGCTCTTACGAGGTCCCAAAGCCATAAGGCCTTGAGCCTGGGGCTGCTGAGGACACAGCCAGCCATTTGGGAGCACAGGCACATGCTGGGAGAAGCCAAGCCTTGACTCCTCTTGCAGGCGGCCTTACCTACTGACCAGGAGAAGCGGCTTCTCCTTGGCACCCACTTCTTCATGCATATAACTTCCATATCCACCTTGGTCCCATCTTTTTTCTTGGCTCTTCTTTAATGCCAGAAGAGGGTTAGAACAAGAAGAAATATTGAATAGTGCTTAAGACAAGAATAGTGTGTGTGTGTGTGTGTGTGTGTGATACAGAAGGTAGTTCTGAGGTTAACTGTGATGTGTGTTTGTTTAACATGGAGAAAGGAGGCACATCTCTTGGGGTCTAACATGACTCAGAATCTGGGTTAGAGAATCCGACCTTTCCTCATTGGGCATTCCATTTCCTCCTCCTCTCTTGTTTCAAGGGCTACTAGTTGGCACAGAAAGGGCCAGCTTGAGCATTTTGAGGGCAGGTGGGCCAGTAGTACAGGAAGTAACCCAGGATATGCGTGAATTACGCAACACACCAGGTACCCCTCACCTCATTCCGTGTTCTGCTTTCATGCCACCGCTGTGTCCTTCCAGGGTCAGATTCGTCAAGAGCTGCCTGCAGCCATTTTAGATACATCTCCCAGCTGGTGGTTGCCAGTGAAGCCTCTTTCCTTCCGACAGCCTTGGAGCTTGCCCACTTCCAAACGAAGAACATGATGCTTCATGCTGGTCCAGCCAAGGGGAGGGAGTGTGGGGCTAAGCTGTCTGGGCTTGATTTCCCCACATGTAAATGAAGGAACCATGTCTCCAGCCTAACAGTTTCAAGGCCTGCAATAGTGGCCGTCTCTTTTCCATTGACTTGAGATCCTCAGAGAGCTGTAACTCACGCTCTCTTTGCTCAGTAGGGCGGGGGTTGCATGGGCATTGTCTTCTAGCCAAGCACACATGCACACATGGGAATATTAGACTATTTGTCAGACAAGGAGATAGAAAACAATCATTCTGGCTTTATAAAGGGCCCCCCTCCCACATACCACACACACACACATATCACACACACACATCACACACATATCACACACATACACCACACACATCACACTCACCACACAAACCACACAAACCACACATACACATATCACATACACACACCACACATACACAATCACACTCACCACACACACACCACACATACACACCACACACACTGCTGTTCTTTTTCTTTTTTTTTTTTACTTTCTCATGGTTCCGCTAAACACATCATTGTTGTTGCTGGTATGTCTTTGAAGACCTGGGGAATCAATTTGTCAACCTAAATAAATGTTTCCGCTCCCTACTCCATATTCTCCTCTTCTTCATTTTTATTATTTTTAAGAGTCTCATTTTGTAAGCCCAGGCTGACCTGGGATTCACTGTTGTTACTTTTCTGTCTCTGTGATAAAATACTACCACCAAAAGCAACTTCTGGAAGAGTTCATTTGGGCTTACGGTTCCAGAGCCAGAGTCCACCATGGCGGGAAGGCACGGCAGCTGAAGCAGGAAGCTGAGCACACACATCTTCAAATGCAAGCATGAGGCAGAGAAGTGGGTGAAATGAAATTGGGGCCATTTCTCATTCCAACCACCACAACTATGTAGTCCAGGCTGGCCTTGAACTCATGGAAGTTCTCACATATCAGGCTCTCAAGCTCTGGGATTATGGGCACGAGCCACCACACCTGGCTATATTAAGATTCTGCAGCTGCCTGAGGAGGAAGGCAGGGCAGTGTTGGCTATCACTGCTGGATATCACCACTGTGAACTGGGTCTCCCCATAGGCTGTCCTGACCTGAGGAATACCAGATGGTCTTTCCCAGCTCCCTTCAGAGCACAGTCTCCCTGCACCAGGAAAGGATCATAAGCCCCTGCCACCCACCCATGCTCCATCAGGATTAGGGCACAGCACACCGTTCAGAACAGAAAGGAAGAATGCCAGTGTCTTTTCGGCAAATTGATGAAATTCTGATGCTCTTTACAAAGGTCCCAGTCTGCTTTTGTTTCATGGAGATGATGATGTGGGAGAGACTGAAGAGAAACATTTAAAAATGGCTGTAAGACTCTGATGTGTCTTATAATTCCAGGAGTATCTCATCTAGTGTCTGGTCTACAGTGAAGCTGTCTTTAACACCACATCCTCAGAGCCCCAGAGGATGAGAGACAATGTCCTATGTGCCCAGGGGTCTGTTTGACAACAGGTAGTCTAAAGTCAATGAGGGTGGACTGTTTCAGAAACATTCCCAGAATCCTAACTGTGGTCTCCATTCAGCCTTGAAGTGACCTGCTTCAGCATTCTGGCAGTCTCACATCTTGATGCCTTGCAGTACCTGGCAGCTCCCCTTGGCCAGGAGACCCTGTGGTCTCATCCTAGGGGCCTGCTAATGTACCTTTGATAGATATTGCAAGGGGTGATCGCTGTGTTGTCCTCCTCTGACTCAGAGGCACTCTAGAAAGCTTTATCCTGTGCAGTGTGAAGATGTCTTTTATCATCGATACTTTGATTACTAGGCAACTTCTGACCTTCTAACTAGTATATCAGGCAAGCTATAGTTATGGTCTGCTTACACTGTTTCTGCAGAAAAAAAAAAAAAAGACCATATCTGCTGATGTTATCCCAACTGGTCCTTCTGTTTCAGGGATAAGCCTGGTGAGCACAGATCATTGTAAATCCCCAGCTAGTTCTGCACAGTTGAGGAGGAGGAAAAACTCATAGCAGAGGTATCCTATGAGGATTGCTGTCTATTCATATTTGTGTATTCACCAGGCCAAGGATGTTTTCCAGGTCTTCCTGGTCCCAGGAGAACCATTATTGTTCCACAGCCAACGGCAGCAGCCTGAGATGCAGGATAACACAAGAACCACCGGCGACCAGAGCTCTCGTTGCTAAATGTGACTCCTGGGGCCTCCTGACTTACTGTTCTGTCTTTGGATGGGATCCAAGTAGAATGTGGCATTTCTTTCTGTCCTAGCTCCTTCAGGCCTCTTTCCTGGCAGGCTCACAATTGCTCACAATTGTCCCTGTCCAGCTTTCCTCTTAAGCCACTTCCAAATTCCCATTTGTCACTGAAATAACACAAGTGAGTGGCACCATAGAAGCTTTGGACAGGGCTTTAAGGTACTGTGTCTCATGTAGTGTTCACTGACAATCCTAGGTGGGAGGCTTCATGTGGTACCCAGACCTGCACACAGGCAAAACACCCATTAAAAAAAAAAAAAAAAGACTAAGGAAGTGAATGAACTTTATAAGGTTGAGGAAGCCTAAGGATACAAGACTATTAATACCCCTCCCTTGAGGTTATATAAATAATGCTGAGGAAAAGACTCCTGGAGAATTGTCGGCCAGCTTAGCCACGATCTCCATGGATACAGTTTTCGTGTCACCCCTCATGGACTTCTCAGTTTGCAGCTGCTGTTAAGTCAAGTGTGTACTTATCCATACTCTCTCACCCATGCTTGTCTGAGCGCTCCAGTGGACTCACTCTTTCACCAAGCTAGACTCGGGTAGAAGTGTTTCTGATTTGTCATCAGTGCCCTGAGGTGAGAATATGTCCATGTCTCCTCTGGATAAGCCACGTTAAGACAACTGGTGCCTAAACAGAGCCAAACAGAAGTCTGGAGTGATTGCATGGTCCCTGCTGTTGTGTGACAAGACGTGCAATGGGAACTGATTCCTGTGAGGGGCCAGTGTTCACCAGGGCGGTCCTAATGTGGCTGCCTTTCCCCATGTGGTATGGTCTGGTGTGCCTCTTTGCTGTAGTGACAGTTGCTTGTTCCCCGCGATGGGGTGATGAGACACATAAGCGAGGCTTGCTGTTTGTGAGTGGTCCTGGGAGAGTCCCAGCCTGGCCCATCTTCCTCTGTATGAGGTAGACTGCCTCTGTGGCGGCTGGGTCTGCCATCGGAGTACAGCGATTGTCCTAAAGTAGCTGGGTTGAAGGATGCACTTGAATGCTCAAAAGTAGCACGGGGGGATGGGACTGTAAGCAGGCTGAGGCGGTACTTGTGTGGTGTTTGCTGCAGAGGTTAACCTGTACAAGCAAGACCCTTCGTCTCCCCAGAAACAACCTGGAATGCAAGAGAGAAAGTATAATGAAAGAAGTGCATATTCTGTCCTTCATTCAAGTCTCTCATTTTGCAGGAGGTGTGGGAGGGAAAAGAGAGTCTGAGCCACTTATAGCTGGTGGTGTATGAAGGAAAGAGAACACAAATTAGATCTGTTCTGGAAAGTCCTTCCTAGAAATACTTGCCACCGGCTGGCTTCCTATCCATCAGTTTGGACACTGACTTTTACATCTGGATTGTCCTGTTCTCTAGAACATTCTACCACTAAGGTCCTTAGCACCTCAAGGCCAAATGGATGAGAAGAGTAGTCTAGAAGGTGTGAGTCTTCTTCCCTTGGCAGGACTTCTAGGGCCTGAGCCGGGTTGGAGAACATGTGTCTTAAAGTCATGGCAGTGATAATGGGTGAGGAGCTTGTAGAGACCAGATTCACAAGAGCTGAGTTAATGTCTACATGTGACTCAAGATAGAGAAGTCAATGGCAATTTCTGAGTGTCACTGTAGAGAGGGCCAAAGGAGAAGGAGGAGGAGGAGGAAGAGGAGAGAGAGAGAGAGAGAGAGAGAGAGAGAGAGAGAAAGAGAGAGATAGATCAGCATTCCAGCATAGGTACTGTAAGGTGACTGAGCTGTGAATGGGAGAATGTGAGTCCAAATAATTAGGTGTTTGTGACCAAGCTTGCTCCTTCTTATAGACTGAGCTCTGTGCAGAGGGTGGAGTTTTTCCTTGTCCTGGCAGGAAGCACTGGTAGACTGTTCGCAAAGAGGCTGTCTGGTTTTCTGGAGCTTGAATTCAATAGATTCCAAATTTCATTTGTACTTAGTGCCAAAATATGTTGCTGCTCTGATGTAGTTCAGACTTAATGGAGCCAAAAATCATACACCCAAATCCACTTTGATGAGCTGAGAATGAATTTGGCATCTGTGAGGCTCTCAGTCCCACCATGAAGACACTTCCTTGATGCAGGGCGGGGGGGCGCGTGGAGAGCAGGTGTCAGCTCTCGGCATCAGCTGCATCTGAGTCAGCACCTCTCTGACGGAGCGCTGAGCATTGCTGCAAGCCCTGCCTCTGCGGCTGCCCTTTGAACAGTCAAACCAGCTGAGTGTGGGCACTTGCATGCACCCGCTACCTGTAGACCTTTGGTGGGTCCTGTATGTGCAGGACCCACAAGGATACTTCCTGTGGAAATGCTGTAGACTTCCTGTGGAAATGTTGGCGACTGTCTTGGTTTCATTTCAGTTCATACAATTAAAAAATATTCCAATCCGAAGTGTGGTGGTTTGAAGGAGAATGGTCGCCATAGTCTCAGATGTTTGGATGCTCAGGACCCAGTTGATGGAACTGTTTGGGAAGGATTAGGAGGTGTGGACTTGTTGGAGGAAGTGTGTCATTGGAGGTGGGCTTCAGGCCTTTAAAAGCCCAAAGCCCCCCTCTCTCTGTCTCTCTCTTCTTTCCTCCCTCTCCCTTCTTGTGTTGCTGCCTCAAAATGTATGCCCTCAGCTACTGCTCTAGCAGCTTGCTTGCCTGCTGCCATGCTTCCCGCCATGACGGTCAGCGACTCTAATTATTTGAACTCATAAGACTCCAAATTAAATGCTTTCTTTTTTATAAGTTTCCTTGGTTATGGTGCTTTATCATAGCAGCAGGATAGTAATTAAGACAAAAGTCAACATAGGGGAGGAGGAAAGGGTTTGTTAGGCTTATAATTCCAGGTCGCAGGTCATCACTGAGGGAACTCAAGGCAGGAACCTGAAAGTGGTCCTGACTGCTATTGCACAAAGCATTACCTCCACAAGGGACCTCACTTCATAGCCAAAGAAGTGCCAAGGGAGCTATGGAGGATGATGTTGGCTGGCCAGCAGCTGGGTTTATGTTACGTTGCTATGTCAGGACCACCTGCCTAAGGGACGGTGCTATGCACATCGGGCTGTACTCCGTTGCAACAACGAACACCCAATCCAAGCCCTGATAGGCAAGCCCTGATAGGCTGATTTGATCTAGGTAATTCTTTTAGCTTTTTTTATTATTTTATTTGTTTATTATTTATACAGTATTTGACCTGCATATATGCCTGCATGCCAGAAGAGGGCACCAGATCTCATCTTAGATGGTTATGAGCCACCATGTGGTTGCTGGGAATTGAACTCAGGACCTTTGGAAGTATAGCCAATGTTCTTAACCTCTGAGCCATTTCTTCAGCTCTCTTTTAGCTTCTTAAAGCTAACTAGGACAGTGACAACTTACAGATTTTCAGGTTTGGGGGGGGGGGTGTCTGGTGCCTTTCTGTTTAAGTCTTCACTTTGCTTGTCGCCAAACACTGACCAGGTCATTTTTTCTGATATGAAGGCTGATAGGACAGCCTTTCGCACACCTTGTGTGTTTGCCCCAGAGTCCTTTTGCCAGCAGCCCCGTTCTAAACGCTGAGCCTGCCCTAGCATCTTTCCACTACCCCCTCCCACTCCTCCCTCAAGTAGCTGACATCCTCCTGGACCATATGATAAATGAGAAAACCCTCTGGAGCTCTGAGCTGAGAACAAGGTGGCATGAGCGACATCACGCATCTAGGTGGCAAAACTGCTCCCCAAGGAAAGACAACTTGGATTGAATCAAACACCAGAAGAGGCCACACTCAGCTGCCAAACCTCCTAAAGATAAATATTAGTTATTTTTACCTAAACGCTGGTGAAGTGCAAAGGATGCTCTTATAACCCTTGTTTCTAAAAGCCATGGCATCTTCCTACCTTTCCAGAGAGCCATTGAAACTGGGGAGTCTGCTGGTTCTCAGAGCCACACCTCGCTGGAAGACCCAGGCTCTTGGCCAGGCTGCTTCTCAGCAAGGAGCTCTAGTTAAAACGTGACTCAGCGTTAATCCCACCTGCTCTTTAGCACACATGCACACCTCTGTGAGCCACTGAGGTGCCAGAGCACAGCTCCTGTTGATTGCAGTCCTGACCTATATATTTCCTAGAACCTAGTTACTCTGTGCCCCGGCTCTTTAAGTCTGGTATCGGAGTGAGACATGGCCGTGCCATATGTCAAGTGCCAGATTTCTCCTGTGTCAACAGCACCTGCCCGGGCCTGTGAAGGTTGTTCACTTCCTTCGCTAACCTAGGAGAGCTATTGGGTGGGAAGTATTTACCTTCCTCCTGTGTGTCACTGCAGCCTTCCTACCAGCACTCATAGTGCCTGGCTTGTCCCAGCAGATGCGATGCATCCCAGATCTGTCTCCTCTATCTCCCCCTGACCTTGTCACTGTAGCATCAGTTAGGACTGGACGTAATCTATGTATCCTCTGAGCAGTATGTATGCCAAACTGACTTCGCTCTGGTGGAGTTGCTGTAGGCAGCACACCTGGTTGTCAAAGGTCCTGCGGGTTCCTGATGCAGAAGCCATGGGCTATTCAGAAACAGTACAATCCTGGGCTTTGTCCATGTGCTTCCCTCAGATACCAGTACTGAGGGAACTGGAAAGATGGAAGGTGCACATGAAGGAGACTTAGCAGTGTGCCTGGTATCAGAGAGACACTCCTCTTGAGCTCCGTCTTAGTGACTGCCCCTTCTGTGCCTTCCTGCTCTCTGCTGGACCTCTCTGCATTGTCTGTCCTCCCCGCTTTGGCCTGTGTCTCCTGCCTTCTGGAGCATCGCTAGTCTCTTCCTCAGCCTTGTCACTCCTGGCCTTGCCACTTGTGGCCTGACATCTGGGTCAGTTGCAGGATCTTTTTCTCATTTGACTTTGTTTCCAGAAGAGCCCCATGAGCAGGTCCCAGCCCCTGGCTGTTCATCCTCATGACTAATATCAAAGAAAACTTCCCAGCAAACTGTTTCTCTTTGTGGGCACAGTTTTCTGAGCCAGCTAATGCTGAGGGGGTTTCCTCTCATGGTACTTTCTCCCTGGTCCATCTAGTGTGAGGGCCTTGAGTCCTTTTGCTGTGTAGCCATTTCCTCTATAGCCAAATATCTCCTACAGGAGGGAGACAAGACACTTATATAACATGGCAGGCTCAGGAAGCCTGGAAATTGACAAGACACATGAGGCTCCTAGAGTTATATAAGCAGTGATAATAGCTGGGGAAGAAGCTGTCTGCAGGTTTTGAAGGAGCGCCAGGGGGATGGTTTAGTTGCCACCCATGCTGGGGTGAACTTTTCAGTGATACAGCTGCCTTTGAGTCACCCAGGAAGAAGTAGGTAACCCCAAATAGACTCACCATCTCCCTAAGCTAGACTTGGGTGGAACCATTCTTCAGTCTGTTCTGTAATTGGTGTCCCATCCTGGGTAAACGTCTGTTCATAGCTCTCTAGAAAAAAGTCATGTGACATTCATTCTTTAAGAGGGTGATTCTGTTTTCCAGATTCTCTTGATGAGGCCTCAGGCATAGCTGCACTCTGTCACCCTCCTTCTGAGCTCTTCCTCACACATGCTCTCAAGATTGTGAACGCCAGCACTGAGCCTCAGCCTGTTTCAGCTGCGGCCCTAGGTCAGCCTCCGGGTGTCTGTTCCTCAACAGATTGCCCCAGCTTGGCTAATGCAGATTTCAGGCCAGCCAGTGGCGCATGGTTTCTTTTTTGGAAGAGGGGAGTGGCTCAGACACAGACAGACAGACACTCTGGCTGTCACTGTTAAAGAGTGACTTTCACCTGCCCCCAAGGAGGGGGTGAAACTTGGATCTTTGGGTTAAATGCTTCTCTGTTTGGCCCCACAAGTCTTTTTTTGCAGGTGGAGTCTGGAATCCAGGCCTGAACAGTGGGTTAGTGCTCTGTAAATTGGGCACAGTCCCTATTCTCAAGGAGCGTGGGTCTAAAGGAAAGAGAAGGCATGCTACATTGCCACCTGGAGTGCTACTTGCTGGCCCCAGGACACGCTGTGGAGGCCCTTACACACCCACTTCACTTTTCTCTGGGCGTGAGAAGCCTGGTACTTAGCTGTGTTCTTCACTGAAGACACTTCAGACCAGAAGCCTTTGCAAATGGCACAATTAAAAGCTAAGTGGTAGGGCAAGTGTGTTTCAGACCAAGATGGTCAAGTTCTCCTCTCATTAGAGAATGGTTCAAAGGTACCCTGACAGGAACTGTTTCTACCACCGGGATGAAATCACCTGGCCATCATTGATGGCACGCACCGAGGGGAGGGAAGACAGGATCGCTGAAGCTTTGACATCTGCATTGCATTTTCTTTTTTGCCCATTTGGCTGGTCTGCCTATGCTTCTTCTACAAAGGGGGCTGGGCAGAAAGGAGTCCTGCAGGTGTTTAGAAAATCTTGCCCTTGGTGGGTCAGAGAGAGATCTTGGAGGTAATGAGGGTGGAATGGGATGGAAAGGATACAAGAACACAGGCTTTGGTTCTCCACAGCCAGGCCCTCTCTCTCCAGGCTGTGCTAGATTGGGATCCAGATCCTAGACTTGGGGTGGGGTGGGGCATCATCTGCTTTTAGGCTTTTCAGTGACCTAAGCTTGTAACGTTGCCCTGTTACTTCCTATAATGTTTTGATCAAGCCATATCAGAGGCACAACGGTCTTTCTTATCCAAAGGGGACAGAGGAGATGACGGAATCTCTGCTATGATTGTTGTGAGGTGGGCTGTGGAATGGGGAGTCTAGCTCTTCATTTTGTCCCCTCTTTCCATCTTCCACTATGTCACTAGCTCCCCCAGACTCTAAGATCCCAAGGGTCTACTAACCTGGCAGTCTATTGCTTTACTCTTCCCCTCTAATGGCAGCCAACTCCAAGGACAGTTTCCTCTTCGCCCCTTTGCTTATCAGTTGCAGGATCCACGGTGCTTTTGCAATGTTTAGGGCAAGGATGTTTCTGGCTTTATTCAGGCTGTATCCTGGTAAACAGCAGGCACTCAGTATTTGCTTAGTAAAATTCGTCAATTTGGGTAGGAAAGAGGAGAGAGCGAGAAAGAAGTGAGCACGGTGGGCACAGCCTTTACAGAAGGCTGCTCACTCCAGAAGCTTCTACCGGGCCACCGTCATGCTGTCCACATGGCTGCCGCTCTCCCTCTGCACAATCGGTAAGTTGCCACGTGGGCTTGGAGCCGGGTGCTCTGCTCCACACCCCCCTACAGGCCCTCAGACTTCTAGGTTGGTTAGGAGAGAGTGGAAAGAGATGTGATTTTCAACCATCATTCCAAGGTTGGGGAGTGAGGTCCCTTTCTCCACCCCCACAGGCTTCCACTGCACAGAACAGTGGCTGTGTCCAGAGGGCCAGTCCTGGGGAGAGGCGCCTTGAGGGTCTTCAGGGTGGAGGAGGTTGCTCTGAGGAAGGGAAGTGTGGGTTGGGTGGGAGGGAACAGCGCAGGGGAAAGTTGACTAGGTCCCTGGCAAATCAGCTCTAGGACTGCCTGCTAGTGGGGCCAGGGCCAAGCGTGGGGGTAGTATATGATTCTCCTAGAAGACTCCCTCACTGAGCACGGGACTAGAACCATGGCAGTGGCAGGGTGGTCCCCATCTAAAGATCTCCCTCTCGATAAGCACCCAGGTGGAAGCTGGGTGACCCATTAGACCTGAGGAAGATGACAACCTGGGCCCAAGTGACAGAGGACACAGTGGGAGTGGAGAGTTCCAGAAAGCTTGCTGTAGTTGATAAAATTTGCTGTGAGATTAGATTCCAGGGACTAGAACAGGATGGCCCACCTGTGACCCCAGGGTCTGTCCCAGGTTTGTTGTGGGTCCAAGGGGCTGGAGGTTCCCCACCCCCCACCAAACTGTTGGGTGTGATCCATTAGCTCCTAAAACCAATCTGGCGGGCCACTGCAAGAGAGCTTTAAAAATTAAATAAAGTAGCATTTTAAGAAAAATCGAAGTGAATCATATGAACAGAAAAAAAAAAATGTTTTCCCCCTTCTTTCTTGGGCACAGGGAGCCTCCAGCTGTCTCCCGTGACAGGCAGCTTCATCCGCTCTGGTGGGTACTACAGCTTTACTCCTGGCGAATGCCTGCCAGTCCTTTCTTCTCCTCTGCCCCGTCTTGCATGCTTGGGTCTCTTTCTCCAGTCTGGTATCCAGGCCCAAGGCTGATTTTCTTATTCTAGGGACTCTAAGACCTCAATAGCAAGCTCCTCTACTCTGCAGTGTCGGCAGCATGGACAAGTCCTCCCCTGCTAGACCCTGGAAAGTGGCTGGAGCCAGGGAGGGAAGGAAGGGGTGAACACTGGGATTTTAGGGCACAGGTGAGGTTCCTGGCAGTTTTCTGCCTCTCACCTTCTATCTCTATCTCCATACTCTTCTTCAACGGATGGAGTACTTTTGGTATACCTAGTTGGGGATTAGAGATGTAATGGCAATTATATGGGATTAGAGATATAAAATGTTTGCTCTTGTCTCCCAAGTTGCCTGGTGGAGACAACACAAGCAAAATAAGCACTTTTCCCCAGAAGCATCTGAAGAAGTCGATGCTGGCCCCAGCAAGCACATCCCTGCCCTATGCCAGCGTATACATGAAACACCGTCTGGTGCCTCCTTTCCCAGTTAGAGTTCCTGGTAGAGAACTGTGCTACGCTGTGGCTAGGGATCTGGACCTGGGAACCACACAGTTGTTCTGGATTGGCTCCCTTTCCCACTTAGTGGCCTTAGTCATCTACTCAACTCTGTCATTTGGAGCGGATATAATGAACTCTTAAGTGCTCAGAAAAGGTCAATGAGCTAAATGGCACATCACACATACGTGTGCAGTAAACACTGATGGTTGCTGTTACTCACCGGGCGGAGGAAAGGAGAAAGTAAAAGAATCAAAAAATAGGGAAGTAGCATGGCCGATCCTTCTACGCCAAGGTCCAGAGGCAGAGCTGGGTGTGAGTGGAGGTCAGAGGGGAGGGCTGCACTGGAAAAGGAGACACCTACTGGGGTACGGCTGAGATCTCTTGGGGGACAAGGGTGAAGGGGGGTAGGCAGTCACGTAGCTTCTCCTGCCCCAGCTCTCCAACTGCTGAGCAGCAGTAAGACCTTCTCTCGGGTGGAGGAGCCTTGGACCTGGAAGGAGGCCCTGCGGTACTGCCGGGAGTATTGCACAGACCTCGCAGACCTGGAGAGCATCAACAGCCTTATGGACATCATGGAGGTGTACTCCTACACCAGCGGTACCCAGGCATGGATTGGCCTCTTCTACGATATGCGCCTCTCTGACCTGAGCTGGTCTAGTGGCTCCACCTTCACCATCCCAACATGGGTCCAGGATGGCATCTGTGCTACTCTGTACTCGAGGGCGATGTTCCCCGCCCTCGGGGCTGCCTCCTGCACAGATCAGAAGCCCTTCATTTGCTATTATGGTGTGTTCAGATTAATATTCTGGGCCTGTTCTTGAGGACTCTTGTCTCTTGAGGACTGTTATGGGGGAGGGGGAGAGGAAGAGAGTAGTGTGTGTTTTAGGGGGGCATCTATGAGAGTCACAGATGCTCCCTTACTTTTTTCATATTTCCTCTCCGGGACCTTAGTTCATATAATCTATTCCCAAGACACTACCAAAGACCTGGGTGTAAATAAGGATGGAAGAAATAAAATCTGGAATGTTCCATTCTATCTTTTCCATCTGCCAATGAAAGATCTGATCAAAGAAGGAGATGGGAAAGATAGGTTGGAGGGGCCTTTATCTATGCAGAAAGGAGAGCAGAACTCAGCCTTGCCTCATGAAGCCCTGGGTATGCTCTATTGATTTAGTGGGGATGGCAGAGTAGAACATTCAGTTCATGAGACCTTTTGCTACTTGCTAAGGCGTGGGTAGGACCAACTCCAGACCGTGTTACTGAAGGTCTGCCATCAGCTGGTCATGGTGCTGGCTCTGGAGGACACCTCAGCTTGGTGTTCCACCTATGCCTTCTGTCCCCTGGAGCTACCACTATCGCTGTCCTCTTGCTGGTGCTTGGAGGTCACATAGAGGTGTGGTTGTGGACAGAACTGCATTTCCCTGGCAAAAGTGACAACTTCTGCCTCTCTCGGCAAGCCAGGGCTCAGCACAATTCTATTGCCACCATTATTGCCCAGATAATCGCATGGAGGTCAACCTGCCATTTCCTATGCCATAGCCACACCATGCTTGCCACGAAGCCCTGCAACAGAGGCCCATGGTGGCCTTGGTTTTAACTTTAGATTCCAAGGGAATTTAACGATTTCCAGGGGTGGCCAGTGGTTCCGATAGGAATCCCTGCCAAACCCGGAGCTGTGTATGATGGACTTCCTCCTGATTCCTCCACTGTCTTAGACCTCGACTATAAAACCTTCTGACATCACTCAGTTTTCTCCAGTCCTGTGGGCCCATTGTGAGTGCATGGGCCAAATCACTGCTCAGTTCTGAGGCTGCCCTGTGGCTCCTGCCATGTGTTGTCTGAATAGTTTTAACACACAGGATAACCTCCTTACAATACACTCAGCGGACCTTCAGAGCACTTGGGATACCATTCTTTTCACAGACAACCATGCCTGTGTGGTCTCTTTGGCCTCATCCCTTTTTCTAGCTGTGGTGTATTGACTTATTTCTGTCCCCCAATCCACACAGCTCCTTTCTGCAGTTGGCTGTTGTGCTCACCCTCTTGGGACTAGGTGGCTCACATTCTCTTCAAAAGCAAAGACTCTCCTTGTGCTATTTCTACCATTTTCCTAGGGAATGGCACCAGGCATACAATAGGTGCTTAATCTATGCGTACTGAATGAATATAGAATAACTAAGCCCACCTTCGAACTTCTCTTGGCTCTGGGGCAGTTCTCACTCTCTACCCCATAATTTGAAGTCTGCTTCTGTTTTACAGACCCCGCTGTAGGGCACCGCAGCTCCTCGGAGTCCTCTCTCAAGGACCTGACCACTCTTCCAGAGGAAGGTAACTCACCTGGCTCCACCTCCCCTTTCCTGGAATCTTGGCTTATTCTGCTCTGGGCTCATCTCCCTGTACCAGCACACAGGGTGTGGGTCACCATGGTCCCCTCCACTCCCACCTTTCCTACCTGACCTGAGGTTTGGCTTTGAGGTGCCCAGGCTGAAACCCAGGCCTGATGGGGGCAATTCCTGCACAGAAGGGAAGGCAACTAGCCGCAGGTCTCATAATAGTGTATAACCAGCTGCAATCCTGCCACCTGGGTCTTCCTCTGCGAATTGGGATTTGGGGGATGAGTGGGCAGGACCTCTTCACAATTCGGGTCCTTGCCCTATGCTTAGAGAAGGCTACTTCTCTCAAGATTCCTGCCCCTTGGACAACACTGCCCTGGTGTTTAAAAGGAAGGTTTCTTTTTATCTGAAAACACATACACATACACACACACACACACACACACACACACACACACAAAAAAAAAAACTAAAAAAAAAACTGTTAAAAGAAATAGTCACTGCATCTATGTTCAAGGCTTGTTCTCTGTTATAGAATGTGGAGTGAAATGGCAAAGGCTTCTAAGGCAGGCAGACCTGTGCTTTAATACCATCTTGAGATTGAGTTTGGGGTGAACTATCACCTCTTTTACCTATGCTTCTCAGGGTGACAGTGAAAACCAAGGAGTGACACAGGCCAAGGCTGGCACATACTAGGGGCATAAAATATAGAATAATTTAAAAAGATTAGTTTTGGGGTTGGTAAGATGGCTCAGTCCTGGGTAAAGGTGCTCACTGCCAAGTCTGATGAGTTCAGTCACTGGGACACACATAGTGGAGAGAGAGAACTGATTTCTGCAAGTTATCTTCTGACCTTCATGCGTGTGCTATGTCCTGCACAAGTGCACAATTAAATGTGTGGGGTGGGGATCCATTTAGATAGGGAAACAGCCAAGCCTTACTGGGCTGAGGTGAGCAGATGCATGCCAGGGAGTAGGGAAGGGCTCTCGTTTGAATGGGAGGATATGACTCCAGATTCTGTAAACAGTGCTTTCTTTATCCAAACCTCCAGAACCATCCCAGGTGGAGCTGCGGTGGCTCACACCTTTTCCAAAACTTCCGTTGCTAGGAGGCAGAGAGGCGTGGCTTGAAGGGGCCTCTCAGGGCGGGGAGCCTGCCTCTGGGACCTGAAGCAACCCAGCCTGTGAAGGGAGGTAGTGCGGGGGAGGCTATCATCTTATCTGCCTGACCTCACGAGGAGCAGAGCTGCTGGGAATAGCCTGCTCTGCTTCCAGCCCACCAGATTTGAGCTAATGCGGTTGCCTCCTAGGGATTCTCTCTCTCTCTCTCAACTAAGACTGTCTAATTCCCATCATAGGAATGACCTATTACTATCTCCCGAATAGTGCCTATCATTTTATTAAGTGCTAATGTGTGGTTTTATGTAATCCTGGTCTTAGGTATGATTATTTCTATTGGACAGATGAAACACCTAAAACTTAAATTTAACTTGTAAAAACCACACAGCTGTAATAGAGCCCTTTCCTTAATGATTCCCCACACCAGCTACTGCTATGATATCTCACTCATTCTTCCAACTTGGTGGTATCCTTAGAAAACGGTGGTCTTGATCAAATCTAACCCCTGAGGATCCAGGTCAAACCAGCTCTTTCCTTAGGCAACGGCGACTGGGATGTCTGAGAACCTGGAACTTAGGCTTAAGGTCTCTGTATTCTTTGACTCCAGCCAAGGTCAAGATTGGTGGACAGATCTTCATTCGGATTGTTAAACAAACCATGTCATGGCTCCTGGCTCTGAACTACTGTCGCAACCACTACACAGACCTAGCCGATCTGCAGAGAGTGACTGATGAGGACAGAGAAGCCCTCCAGTCCATCACAAGTGATGTTGATGCCTGGATTGGCCTCTACTTCAATATAAAGATCAATCTGACCTGGTCCAGTGACTTGGGATCCAGCGTCCCTGAGTGGCTACAGCCAATACCCATATTTGGCCAAGGACTGTGTGCAGGACTCCGTACATTTGCGAATCACCCGCAGATTTATGCAGTGACTTGCCACACGTTGATGCCTTTCATCTGCTTCTATGGTACGTGAGGGTCCACTTGGCTGAGGTTAAAATAAATTTATTAGACAGTGGAGGGTACTCAGGATAGATCTAAGCACGCACTTAAAGGCTTTGAGGATAAAAGAATTCTATCAGCAACAAGTTAGTCATCCTATAAATAACCACGGGCCTGAGCTTTATAACCAGGCAGGCTTTACCACTTTTTAGAAGACAGGCAGAATCTGAATTCCCCTTTCCTCATCTGGACAACATACAAATTGGGATTGAGGACATTCACCCCACAGGATGGCTGAAGGCGGGATGACTGTGGAGATCTTGACACAGAGCAACCGCATTGCTAATAGCAGCTATGGCCACTGAATTCCAGAGCAGCAGGGGTACTCTGCATCCTGTACAGAACATGCCTCCTCAGTGATGGGCCTCCCATCTTGCCCTTTGCTTTCAGCCTCCCTCCTTGTGTTGTACCTTTATTGAGAGAGAATCCACATACCTTAAGACAACCATTTTTAAAATTTAATTTTATTTATATATTTATTTATCACAATTTATTCACTTTGTATCCCCGCTGCAGCCCCCTCCCTCGTTTCCTCCCAGTTCCACCCAACCTCCCTCTTCTCCCCCTATGCCCTTTCCCTAGTCCCCTGATAGAGGAGGACCTCCTCCCCTTCCATCTGATCCTAATCTATCAGGTCTCATCAGGACTGGCTGCATCATCTTCCTCTGTGGCCTGGCAAAGCTGCACCCCCCAGGGGGAGGTGATCAAAGAGCCTGCACTGAGTTCATATCAAGAGACAGCCCCTTAAGACAATCTTTTAAAGTGTACAATTCAGTGGTTTTTACTGTTTGCATGCTTGTTCAGCCATCATCACTGTCCACCTTAATGACATTTTCATCACCCTCAAAAGTCCTTGTTGACTCACAGTCATGTCCTACCTTCCCCTTGGCAACCAAAACAGCCGTTATGTCTCTGTGGATTTGCCTATTTGTGGCTGTTTCTTTTTATTTTGGATTTGAAGACGATCTTGTCCTTTATCTATAAAATGAGCATTTCTCGATGAGCTGTTATGAAGATTTACGGTGAAAGGACGTGTGCAGTGATTTGCAGAAAATATGCAGTGGCTGGGTCCCCTGACAGTGTTGCTATGGTGGAAGCTGACTGGTGGCGTCTGCTGGGGCTTTCCATGGGGTTGGTGTGACAGGGCCTGCCCTTACACTCATTGTTTTCTCATAGACCCCTCAATTGGACATCGGAAGTCTGCAGAGATGCCTTCACTCATTGATACTTCCTCCCATGAAGGGACTCACCCCTCAAGAGTTACTACCAGGACAACCTCTTGGCCAAACGCAGGTACTCTGAGTCTTCTGGGCCTAGGAAACTGGAGAAAATGCTTGGTCCACACACACACAGCAGCGCAGGGTGGAGCGCACGTGATTGGCTGTCCCTGAAGTGCTAATGAGAGATGAGTGCAAGAGAGATGAAGTATGCCAATTGTTGACAACCAATTACTACTTACACCAATGAGGCTTTCTGCTCCTCTTCCTCTGACTGCTTGGCTAACTAAGGGTAGGAAAATGAGGAACTGGTTTGCCACAAACATTCTTCTTTGTGGGCTTCTGAAGATGAAGCTCTAGGGCCAGGAGGCTCAAGAGAGGCTGTGTAGTCTCTTAGGTGCAGAAATAAAGGCCTGGGACAGATGGGGACAGATGCCCGAGTGCTTCCTGGAGAACAGTCAGAGAGGCCTTGGAGGGAAGCACAACAAAGGAGATCCATCCAGTTCCTTCTCCGAGTGTGCTCCTCTGCTGGGAAAGAGGCATGAGCTGTTGGGGTTTTGTGACGTGGTTATAAGTTAGGGTGGTTGACCAAGACCCAATAATAGGGGACAAATACAACCAAAAAGAGCCCACAACAAAAGCAGGACTCATTCTGATGGAGCTCACAGCCAACCAGGGAAAAGCTGGTGTTTAGTATAGTTAGAGGCATGACAGAGACACGGAGAACAGGAGTCAACCAGCCACTGCAATAGCAGCGGGTTTTAGGAGTGATTTTAGAAGGATGAAAAGGTTAGCAGGTGGGTGGGTGGGGATACCTCCTCTTTCCTGCTGGCAGGCTTGTGTGCTGCTCTCACTGGGAGGTAGAGGAGGCATGGCTCCTTTGGTTTGAAAAGCTGGGTTGAGGCCTTCTGCTTCCTTTGAAGTCTAACCCAGCGTCCATCGTGTTGTCTCAGGCCCATACTTACCTGATGACTTAAATAGGTTTAGAAAGCCTTGTCTTCTCAGTCTGCCTTCAACAGGTGAATAACCCAGGTGTGGCAGAAACCAGGGCCTGACGCTATGATCTTCTCTTGGACCTGCCCCATTGGGGATACTAGGAGTTCCTGACCTGTGGCTAGGGCCTTGAAAAAGGTCCTGTGCCCAGTACATCCCACATAAATCTTGTCTCTTTCCATAGGGACAGGCACTGGCCCCATAGGCGCCTCCCAAGCACTGGTTTCAGCAACCGGGATCCCGCAGCGAGTGAGTCATGGACCAATGGCGGTCAGCTCTGCTACCTGTGGCTTCAGCACCTGTGATACCACATCCACCGCCACCACCACTGTGGGCCTCACCTCCCTCCAGCCTCAGGGGAAAATTTCATTAAGTCCTCTGACGACCCCTGCACCCTCAGGAGGTACCTTTGTTTGAGAAGGGCTCACAAGCCCATTGGTCACTGCTCATAGCTTGTCTTCACACTCTGAGCACCCACGAAGCAGTCTGGTTCTGGGAGAAGGGCCCAGCACCCCACTGCTAACTTCTCAGAGCTTGTCCTTAGACCTTGGGCCCTAGGGAAGTAACTTTGTTTTGGAAGAAAAGTCCATGACACCCCTGGTTGATCACTTGCCAGAACCATATCCTTGTACCTTGTATCCCCAGACAGCTTTTAAGTCCTCTGTGGGTCTTGCATCCTTGACACTAGCCCACACTGGTTGTGTGTCTCGAGAAAGTGGATTGGTTCACCAGGAAGTAGCCTGGGACCCCAGATTACCAATGCCAATTGTACTGCAAAGTCTATGTACCAGGGGTCCCTGTAACTAGAGTTCACGGCTACAATGGAGGTAGCCACAAGCCTCTGTCTCAGCTCCACCCATAATGCATCAGTCATTTTCATGTTGGCAATGTTCTCTGAGTCCTCCTCATTCAGCTAGTCCCATAGCTCAGAGGCTCTGTTTTGCTTGGTAGAGACGAAAGAAAGAGCTACGGAGGCATCTGTCTCAAGGAGCCCAGCAGAGACTCAAAGAAATGGGCCCTATCATTCTACAGACTGGAGCCTGGATGCCAGCATCAAGCCTGCTGGGAGCCTGCCAAGAATTACTACAGGTGCTCAAGTGCTTCACTGGGTGGTCGGGCACCCCTGCCCACAAGTTCCTCTGGGACACCGGCAGCCAGATACCAAATTGTAAAGTGTGGAGCCAAGCGCAGGACTCGAATGGCTAGGCAGGGCAGCACTGCAGGCCTCTCTATAAGGAATCCTGTCTGGCCAGCACCAGCTTATGAGTCCATTTCCTTGATCAAGTAGGATAGAGATGGGGTAAGACAGGAAGATTTAGAAGACTCCACCTTTAAGAGCTGAAGTCTGACAGTCAAAACTGGAATGGTGGCTCTGTAATGTATTGTGCACAGCCTTAGAAAACCAATTTTTCTCTCTTCCCTCTCCTCTTTTTTCCCATTTATTCTCTTTTGAGGTAAAGTCTCACTCCATGGCTTCAAACTCACTGCAATCCTCCTGTCTCAACTTCCTAACTAGGATTACAGAAACAAACCACTACATCCATCTCTGTAACTTTCTTAACTTCTCTGAATCTCATTTCTCTCATGTCTAAAACAAAGAAAGTATCAGTGTGATCTAGTACCTCTCAATGCTTGGTTCCGGCAGACAGGAAATGCAGTTATTACCATCTCAATATCAATTCACTAATCACATTTAGTGTCCTTCCTTAGCAGGTATGCAAGGCTCACTCTCATGTCATCACACATGCTGATCAGCTATGCACTTGAGTATTGCAGTCTCTCCTGGGCCAGGGCTGTTTGTTCTTCCCTTTTTCCATTCTTTGAGCTTTGTTTTATGCAAGAGCTCTCTTCTGAACACCTGCCTTCACTGTGGATACTGTGTGTGTCAACCAGGGTGAGCAAGTACTTGCCTCCTGCTTTTAGACAAAGGCAATCTGACAGGAAGAGATGCAGGCAACTGGGACAGCTTATGAGCACATGAAGTATAAACCAAAGCAGAAAGCGACTCATTCTTTGGACAAAGGTTATGAGTATCAGGCAGTAAAATCTGGAAGTTCTTCCTTACTGAAAGAACAGTATGGGCCAAGATAGACAGGTTGAAGTGTCAGGTTAGTCTGGATTGCAAAGCAGGCTAAGGCGGTTACCATACAGGTTACAATTTGGAGGAAGGAGTAAGTAGCAGGGATGAGGTAAAAGAGGACTGTGGCCAAATTCTGAAGGACTTGAACCTGCAGTCAACAATGCTACCAGAAGGTTTCAGAAAATGAGCAAAATGCTCAGATCTATATTTATTGGTGGTCGGTGACATGAGGCCATGCTTGTTATTAGGATGCTAAAAGAAAACAGCAGGACTCAGCATGTATATAACACAGTATTCACAGGGAGAGGAAGCATCAAGCAAAGGTTAAAAATAAAAAAAAAGATCAGGAGGACATTTGTAAAACTGTGCTTATGAGTGTTCCCTCACCTCTGTGTTTCTCAATCTAAACAACTTGTTCACTTATGAAAGAGATGTGTAAGTCTTTCAATAAGGCAAGGTGGGCTGGTGGAGAGAAGGGCCAAAGTAGAGAACAGCCTGCGTGAGGAGGCTGAGGCAGTGGTGAGGTTAGGAGGGACACGAAACCTAGATCTGTATTAGTCACAAGTGATACTGCTCAACAAAGACCAACACAAATACATTAAGAGAACTCCTGCCTTTGTTCACGAAGTCAGAAGTCCAACTTTTAAAGTTGGCTCAAGTTTTATTTTAAAATGTATTTCTTCATCTAACAACAGTATGACAAAGATTTAAAGGCAGTAATAGTGAGAACGCGGGAAGGACATCCATGACAATACCGTAGGCTGTCAGCTGGTGCTGCCAGCCTGGCAAGGTGTTTCTGTTTTAAAATAGGCGTCTTTGCCTACAGTCTACATGTAGAAACTGATAAAGAGAATAAGACTGCAAAGTAAACACACACACACCAGCACCGTTCATTGCACTGAAAATTAGAAGCGATCTAATGTCAACTGAGAGAAGACTGCTTAAGTCATATCACACTTGAAATACTACAGTCTTTTAAAGAGTAACGCAGACTTTTCATTTTAAATAAAAAATTCAACCTGTGAAAGGTATTTTCTAGCAAACAATGTTGGCTTTTCTTACGGCTGAGGCATTTTCCTTAAATAATTTATAGTAGTAGATCTCTAAATGTGAATACATCCATATTTGGAGGTGGGGTAATTGCAGAAAAAGGAGAAACACAGGATTTGGTGACTGAAGGGGACAGTAACAGAGGACTCCTGGTCTCTGGTGGGAGTGCCTAGTGTATGCCCAGAAGAGGTTAAGCTTGGTTTGGGGAACTGCAGTGGGGGAGATGTCAAAGCCACTCTGGCTACCACTGGCGGAGGCTGTGCAGTTCACCTGATAAAATGGACTACTGGGCTCCCTGGCCTAAGCGCTACTAAAAGAAAATAAGCTGGACCTGATGTCAAACCTCATGCTATTGCTCAAGCCCCAAGAGCCTGATGCTGGAACACTTTCTGGATGATGGGATACCAGCTCCAGAGAAGTGAGGAATAAACCTGGGGGCAAGCGAAGGACTGGCAGGTGTGAGCAACTGTGCACAGGAGGGCTGCCTTTGCCTGTCTTCTGGCTCACAGTCACCAGTTCAGACCCCTGGATTCCTGGCTCCATTTACAATGAATTCCTTTATTCTTTCTTTCTTGTAGCTGTGACCAGCACAGAGGGTGGCACACATATAGGAGCTATAACTATTACCACTCAGACCCAACATATGAGCTTACATAAGTACCCAGAGTATGAAGAGAAACCACCAGCAGCAGAATCGGGTAACTAACTGCCTCTGATTGCCAACCTCACCGTCTAACAGCCCAGGATTGAAAAATGGACAGTTATTCCTAGCCCAGGATACTTGGGAGGCTTCCTAGGAGAGATAACGTGAAATCTTACGTAGGCAATAGGGACAGGAAAAAAGCCGTGTGACTTCTGCAAGTGTAGTGGGGGAGGCAAGCACCCCAGGTTCCGTGGTCTTTCTTATCTTCAAAAGGTGCTCAGTAGAAGCTGCCCTGTATCGTACGGTTGCTGTGAACACACAAGGTACTTAGGCAAAGGAGCACTGTAAGCTATCAAAAGCTATGCAAATGAATGTCCTACTATGAGACTGTAGTTTCTGTCAGTAAATTATGGTGGACATGTAGCAAAGACTGAACTTAACTGTTAGTTCAGAGAACTTCTTTGGAGTTTTTTGGAGTAGGAAACCCAAGGGAAGGTGAAATTCCAGCAGGAACAGATGACCAAGAACATCTGTATAATAGATTTATGAAAAGTGAGACGATCACAGGAGAGCTAGGTGCCCACGCTGTGGGAAGAGAGCTGATACTGCTCTAAAACAGAACTTTCTTTTTTGGGGGTAGAAGAGCAATAGTTAGTGGGGTTAATTGTGGACAAGCATTGTCCTGCTCAGCCATTTCCTTCTTTCTGCCTTTGAAATCTTCTGTTACCATGTAGCACCTGTAGTATCCAATGGGTACCCCTAACTTCCAAGAACTGGGAAGTCCAAGTGGCAATGGGTATCATTCTTCTGAACCACGGAACGTTTTCTTTTCCAGAGCACTCCTTTGGAATCTTGAAAGCAGATTTTACCATCCCAACACTGGGGGATCCAGGAGAGATGAAAGACCAACTTTTGAGTGAGGTGAGATGTCTAGCTTTTTGAACTTTGATCGTTCAGGTGACAGTCATGCAAAGCAGTATTGTCAAAACCAATCTATTAAGAAAGTCGGGGCTGAGGAGGTGTGACAGCTGGTGAAGTGCTTGCTATGCATGAGGAGCCGAGTTTGATCATGTGAAAAAGCCAGATGTGGAGGTGCATGCCTGTACTCTCCGTGCTCAGGCCTCTGGGTCCCTGCACCTGACTAATCTAGTTGAATGGGGGCGCTCTAGGTCAGCAAGATGGCTCTGTAGGTTGAGTGCCATCGAGGAAGACAGTCAACACGACCCCTGGCTTCCATACGGACAGCCACACACCAGCATGCGCATCCTCCCCCATGCCCTCCAGACACGAAGACAAAGCTTTGGAAACGGAGCTCACTGTGTCTGCTCCAAGTGGTAAGCTGGCTGCTTGCTGGCATTGTTTTGGAGACACCCCCCCCCCCCCTTTTTTAAAGCCTAAAATTTTCCCTGAGCTCTCCATTTAGTCAAGACAGCATGGTCAGAAGGACCTAAGCTTAAGTCTTGTCTTCCCACTCTTTTTTTTTATTTTTATTTTTTATTTTTGGTTTGTGTGTGTAACCTGGGCAAGATACTCAAGTCTTTCTGAACCCCAGTTTCATCAAGAAATTCATGTGGTCGGTATCACAACTACATGATACATTCTATATAAAATCTTAAACTGTCTAGTACACAGTTATTGTTGTTATTATCTATTATTAGCATCATCACTATAATAATTAACCTGATAACTGAACATAATTTGAGAACACATTTCTCAAGGGTGAAAGTTCCCTACAGGTCATCTTACTGCTAGACATGTATCTATCACGAATCATAACTGCCTAGATAGGAAGATACACACACATAGGAAGAAAGAGCACATAGGTAATCCTTTCTGGAATTTCACAAAAGCAAGTTTCTAGAAAGACTAGTAGTGTTGGGTGCCTGTGCAAGTTCATGTACATGCTGGCTAACGGTAGGGAGGAGACCTGGGAGACTCTGATACATTTGCTACTGAAAGAACAAAAGCAAATGATACAATTCAGCACCTGATGAGTTTCCCAGCAACATTTCAAGTAATAAAAACACAATGCTACAAAGGACAGGGGGAAACAATTTTGAGTTTTCTGTTTTTGTTTACTGCTTAAGGTCAGAGGTATTTTCTCTGGTCCTGGGCCTTTCTGTGCTTTCTGGAGGGGTAGTGATTGAAACTTTAGATGCTAAACTAGAAGTATCTATATTATGTGTTAAACTGGAGCCAAATGAGGAAACTGGGTTTAAATTCTTAAATCCCACCTCTTGCTTAACTTTGTCAGAAAATTATTTGTTCCATAAGTGGGATGGCCCTGAGACCTTGGGATTGGTCCTTAGCACTATAACGAAACTTTATGGGAAGGGTACGCCACAGACTTCCTATTTCACCGGTACAAAGGGAATGGAGCTGATGGCAACAAGGTCTGTGTGGGGTTTTAACAGCATTTAAATTCCAAATATAAAGTAAGAAAACACCTGTAGCTAACGTATCTAAAGTTCAGGAATGGTCATAAAAGACACTGCTACAGACACCCCACATAGTGCTCAGACGTCAGTATGGAGTAATGCAGCTCAGGAGGCAGTCATCCGTCGGGGTGTGTGTGTGTGTTTAAATTTATCCAGTAAGTCTGATTTTCAGTAAGACTGAGATCCACTGAGTAATTTCGTGCTATTGCCAAGATACAGACAGGCGAAAGGAGGCTAAGCCAAGAATGGTCTGGACGCACATCACGGTGTGGAGGTGCAAGAAGGGGTCTACATTATTTATTTAACGCTAAGTGAATTGCACGACCAGAAAGTAGCAACCACAGCATCTCTTTTTCCTTTTATGGTGCTATGTTAGGGATTAATCCATGGAACTGTCCCCAACCCTATTTCTCCCTTTTTAATATTTCAGATCCAAGAAGCCTTAAAGCTTATACTAGGTCATGAGGAATTCACATTGAAATGGATCGGCTTCGAAGTAAACAAAAACTAGCAAACATCCACTAATTTTCATTTTCCTTTTAAAGCAGTCTTTCAGGTTGTCTTTAGTTTTAGTGTTTTTTTTTTTTTTTTCTTAATCCCTAGAAGCACAATTAGAATTAACTTGAAATATTCTAGGATGCATAGACATACACGTAGCACAAAAGAAAATGACATATGAAACCTGCATTTTTAATTTTGGCTGAATGAGACAGATTAAGCTGAGAATAGCACAGCTTGAGAATGCTAACAAGGACAACTCCCCAACCAACACAAGTGAAATCCTAAGAACAAACCATGTGGGGATATGGGAGTCCCACAGCGGCTCTGGCCAGCTGGAGTAAGCTTTCTTTCTCCTGCGTTAACAGCAGATGCTAGTGCCAGTTATTTGTCCTGTACCTAAGTATTTTACCTTTAAGTCATAAATTCTAAGGCACGATGTTCCTATTGCTAAAATGTGTCTCCAGAACAATATTCCAGCATTCCAGTGTCCTAAGCACTCAGACATACGCAGAAGATAGTAGCAACTTTAGTCTGAAATGTTTAAAGTTAAAGTTTATTTGAATTTTTGTAGGAATATCAATAAAAGACCTCAAACAGTATCTGTATCTGTACATGTACAAGAACTGTCAAAAATTATTCACAGAACAAAAATAAATCTTTTTTAGAACCCAGGTAATGAAATGCAGATATGGATCACATATGGAACAATCTAAGTGCTACAAAGCACAAAAATATGGCTTTAAAAATAAAATCAAATCTTGGGTTTTGTTCTTCTAAGGTGAATTTCTCTTTCTTGAAATAAAAAATAAATTATTTTGAACTATCTGTAAAATAGTCATGTGTATTAACACACTCTTATTAAGGCCCTGGAGATGAAAAATAAAATTAAATTTGGAAGATAAATTCCTCCCAGTTGTGACCCAGGTAAGTATGCTGCTGTTTGTTTGAGTTAATCTAATACAGCTAAGAAATATCCAAGCACCAGTCACACCCAACGTTTGCTACTTGTTTTAGCTTCTCTGCAGATAGTGGTCATTGAGTTAACTAGCATTTAACCTTTTAGTAAACTGGAAAATGGTAATTTTCCCCTTGTGGGTTTGGAAATGACATATCCATGTTATTTATATTTAAACACTTGCACCACACACAGAGGATGGCGACCCCTAAAACACAGCTGTGGAAATGTCACTGCACCAACAGTTCAGTCTGGTTTTCATTTCCAAGACTTTTTAGGGAATAATGAGGGCATCTGATAAAAGATAACAGAGTAGAAAAGTAAAATCTGTGCTGAAACACGGGGTCACAGGTCCCCTGTCCTCTCCTTGGGTGGCTTGCTGCATTCACCACGGCCAGCTGGGCTGTTGCTCAGGCATCTGAGCGTTAACTGCCGAGTTAACTATGTTCTGTAATGCGTTCTTAGATGGTGACCATCACCAGCAGCTCTATATGCTCTGCACTACCGACAATGATGCTAGTTCTCAAGCCTGTGCCAAACCGAGTTCAAGTCACTTTAACTTATATATACATATAACACATATAGTACATTTCAAAGAGAATAGAATGTTATAAAATCTAAAGCTAACAAAACAAAACAAAACAAAAACACCTCACGAAAGTCTGGGAATTACTGTATAAACTGGATGAACATTGTTTTTTTAGAGGGCTGCCCTAAGAGCTGTGTTTCTGTAAGCACCCACATGTTGTCTCAGGAGCTCCTTTCCATATATATATATATCTTAGGAGGAGCCAGGGGATGCAACTCTACTGGTTTGTTTGAACTTCTGAGCAACCAAGACCACTGGATCATGTAGCTTCCTCAGGATCTTTCTGAAAGAAATTTATTCTTTCTTATGCAAATTTTTATCACCCTGGTCTTTTCAAAGCTCAAGAGCTTTTCTAGAGGGGTCAGTGACAAGAGAATGCCCTAGAACAATAACAAGTATTAAAATATAAAATGAGCTTGTACTTAAGAACTTGAAACTTCCAGGTGGCTCTCTGTGAATCTGAGGCCAGCCTGGTCTACAAAGTGAATCTGGACAGCCAAGGCTACACAGAGAAACCCTGTATCAAAAACACAAAAACAACAACAAAAAGAACTTAAAAATTCAACATTATTTGCTTTTAAGAAACAAACATGGAACAGGTAAGGTGGCACATGCCTGTAATCCCAGCTCTCAGGGAGGCAGAGACAGGTGGATCTCTGTGAGTTTGAGGCTAGCCTGGTCTACAAAGTAAATTCAGGACAGCCGGGGCTACAGAGAAACCCCATCTCGAAAAACCAAAGTAAACCAAAAAAGTGTAAGTCCTGCAAAATAGTAATAATAATAATAATAATGCAGAAAGGTATCCCAGGTGTGGGGTGGAAAGGTTAACTTTTTAACTGACTTGAAAAAGCCAAGGAATACAGAGCAGAATGTCCCTTGAATCTGCTCAATTTGTAGCAGAAGGTGGCCCCCAAAGTGGGTAAAAATGAAGTAAAGCTGAGGCCTGGGCTCTGGAGTTGCTGAGTTTGCAGCGCCATGGCTAGTTGATGGTCCAGCCTGGGGCTTAGTCAGTCTCCTGAATGAGGAGACAGCATAATCCTGAGGAGGGCTGCTTTCCCCAGCTCAGTCCCTTAACAGGCCTTCTCGGGAACTGTACCTGGAGGAATCTGGGTGGAATCCAAGCAAACGCTAACATACACCCACTTGTTGGCAGGTGTCCTCTGGGACTTAAAATTACAATAACAACAACAACAAAAACAAACTCCCCTGCTGCCTCAGGGCTGTACCTGAGGATACACACTGGGGCTCTGGAGAGCTGCCAACCCAGACAAAAGCCACAGGTGCAGTAGGAAAGGACAAACTGCTTCTGACATCATGCTCAGCCCCAGTGTGTACACTCACTGTTTACTCAGTCTTAGAAATGCTCACATTTTCTTTGCTGTCCAACACCATGGCAGAGGATGGAAGCAGACCAGTGAGAACACTGATACTAGGTGAAAAAGCAAGAAAAACTAGAGCAGCACAACCACCTCACTTTCCACGCCAAGCAGGAGTGCCCAGGCCAAACAGCACATAGGGAACAGATGCTGAAGAGATGTGATTCTCATGGGAATGTGACCTTTTGCTGTTCTGGTTTTATTGCTCCAGTAATGCTGGAGGGAAATAGGAAGCCCCTTCTCTGGTCCTATGAAGTTACCCTTGTTAATGGTCAGGTCCCCCTCACCTGGATAAAAGCTTTGCAAGCACTTCACCTGAACACCAAATTTCCCCAACCCTGGGCTAGTCTCACCCTAGAATGTGCTGACAAAAACAGGGATCACAAGATGCAGCTATTTTAACCCATCAGCTTTTTAAAAATCACACATTTCCTCGCAGCAAAACAAAACGACTTTTGTTCAGGGTAAAGAAACCTATTTGAGGTAAAGAAACACCATGGAAAATACCTGCTGTTGTTCTCTTCTATACTCAAAAAATTAAAAATAAATGTCACAGGATTGCAACATTCTCTAAAAATATTCAAAAAATATTTTGTTACCATTTTGAGACAGGGTCTCAAGTAGCTCAGGCCAGGAAACGTCTGAGGCAGAGGATGACCTGGAGCTCCTGATCTTCCTACTCCCATCCCTGGAGTGCTGGGATTGCAGGCCTCTGTGCCACCATCCTAGTTCATGCTGTGCCGGGGATTTGAACCCAGGGCCTCTTGTATGCTAGGCTGGCATTCTGTCACCTGGGCTACACCCCAGCTCAGAATAATATTTCTGATAGGCTAAAAAGATGAGTAGGCTCAAAGGATAATCTAAGATTTAATATCTGGCAACGATGCTGAACTTTCAATCTCTAATTCTCTTACTATTGTTATAATTTTACTTTTATCTTTTCAATTATGATAACACACACGATTTATAATATGTCCAAATGTTTTGGATATTCAATCTTGCAACGCAGACAGGCTCTCTAAGAAGGTCCCACAATGTTAAATTATACTTTATTCATCAATACACTTATTTGACCAGCTCTCTGTAATCTGCAATCAGCACTTGAAGACCTTCTCAACCTTAAAGCACGACATTACCCACATTACATACTGCAGGCCACTGAGACTAATAATTAGACTAGGTTTTCTGTGGTGCTCCTGAAGGTTTTTGAAGAATGATGGAAACATTGCTAAGCAATAAACATTTAAAGATCTATGTTTACATTCCTCCCCTCACTCAATACAGGGTATTGCTGCAGAAATCAATAACCTTCTTAGTAAGTAATTGTGACCTTGACTTGGAGGGAAGAGATAAGACTGTAAAATAACTGCTAAGGGTCAGAACACTCAAATGGGTATGAAGCTTACAGTTCTAAGCACAGTGGGATGCTCCTGTTTTCAGGGGGCTATTATGAAGAAACCCTTTCATTGGTTGTAGGTAGAGAGTGCTGGTGAGGTGGCTGAAAAGCAAGGTCTGACCCAAAAGTCAACTGAGGAGCAAGTGAGCCTTGGAATGCATGCCTGGGACTTGGTGGGAAGGAGGGCTTGGTACCTATGCCTGGGCTTTAAACAAACAGGGTACTATATATGTTCTCTTGTTTCCTTATGAGTATTCTGTTAGGCAGAAACACATACACCATGCACATGGCTCCGTTATGTCTCCCCCTGCATCCTTAACTTAATATTTTTTTTAAAGTTTATAACTTAAAAGACAAAACAAAACATTAACTTATTTGAGAAAATTTTTTTTCAACATAAAACGGTGTAAATCTTGCTTAAAGAGATTTAAGACCCTTTTTAACATTTATCTCTGTATATCTGACAGCATAGAAGGTAAGAACATTTTTGATGTGCACATTATATGTACATATGTGTGAATATATGTATATATTTATATATATATATAATATTTGTTTAACCTGCAGCTAACTTTCCATACCTCTGGCAATCAAGCCTGCATTGCAGATATGTCACACTCTGGAGAAAAACATGAATTTTCTTAAAGCCATTAACGATAAGCTGGGTCATTCTTGCAGAGTCTACCATGAATGTGGAATAACAACTGGAATGTGCCATCCTCATACTCTGGTTCTCTCTATCAAGATTAATCATGATTTTTAAAGGGAGATTATTCAGTTTTAGACAGCTTCCCAAATTTTATGGAGAGGATAAATAGAAAGAGAAGCAACTTAAATCTTAAAGGTAGTGATGAAATCACCCTGCCCACAGATTTGTTAGTATAGTGGATAAAAATCTTTCTCCTAAGGAAAAATACAACTGACAAATAGGAAGAAAAAATTTAGTGGGAAATAGTGAGAGATTCCTGCTCTGTTGTAGTTAGCCCTTTTCTGTGAGGAAGAAAGGGTGTTTATTCAGATGGCTTACGAGTGGCATACTTGAATGAGCTCTCCAGCGGAGAGGAAGCCCTGTTGGTGCTGACCACTCCCAGGATGGGGAGAAAAGGGCAATGGACATGTGAAAGTGGAGATGGTAGACAGAGACACAAATATTTATAGTTCTGTCAATTCTAAAGAGAAAAAAAGAGTAGGAGTAAAAATCAAAAAGTCTCATATCTAAAAGAGAAAACTCCCACTGCTGCAGATGGAGTAAATAAACATGCTGATAGGAGTTAAAAGAAATAAAATTTCTAGTCTAGTTTTGGTATAATCTACCACTTTTATCTGTGTCCTCTGAAACAGCAACTCTCCGAATCACATTACTGTCTGATAGAACCATCTTGGTTGACTAGTGGCATCAGTATGGATCTAGGGTGGGGCTTTTAAACTGGCAGATAAATCCCCGAAAAAAAAAAAAAATCTGACAAGGTCCTATTGCACTCCATGTACTCCTATTCAATACGTAGAGTCTCTACCTACTGAACCAACAGGCTCATTTCTCACTCACACTTTGCTCCTACTTTTCCTCCACTAACAACTGCAGTGCTTTCAACAAGAGAAAAACAATAATAAAATAGTAATAATTAAAAAGGTAATCTACATTATTGACTTCCTTTTGGTATATTACAGTGATATTTCTGTACATGGCCCAGAACTAAGTTCCCTATGTACATAGAGACACTGGGGAAAGCATTGACCTTGAAAGTCTTTGCTTTATGCCCTGAAAGACAAGGTTCCTTTCTTCATTTAAGAGTTTCTCACCACATTGCCATTTGAAGCAACATTCTGTAAACCTGGAGGGGTAAACGGATGAGGACAGGAGAGCTGGGCAACCTCCTTCTGTCTCCTCCCAGAGCCTGCATTCAGCAAGGCCCTCCCTCAGCAGCTGCTGTTTTTGAATTCACCATTCTCTGTGATGGAAAGCTTGGTGGGGTTGGGGGGAGAGATGCCATTGCGGATCTGCGTGCTGTACCGTTCCTTCACTTGCGTCAGCGCACTCATCAGTCTAGTGTTGGCTGAATCCAGAGACACGATCCGCTTTTCCTACAACACACCAATCACAGCTTTACTCAGGGTGCATGGAGGAAGCCACTTTCTCTACTGAACAGTCCAGTATTTTCTTGCATAGCACGGTACACATGGTGCTCCCCAAACAAATGGAACGTCTCTGCCTCTTTCTGCACATTGGTTAGGCTCAGCTCCTCCTCCCCTTAATCTCTCCTTTTTTCATTTCTGCATAACAGGACTTACTATCAACAGTATATTGAGGCATTACCAGGCTGTTTTATCAAAATGACACCATGAGTCAAGCTGCCTTTATGTAGTAAGTGCTTTTGTCAAAACTGAAACATGAAAATTAGGTGGCAAAGAAAGAAGCACCAGAGGTTTCATTTCACAGAAGTGCACGTGATCCATGGGATTCACCTCAAAGACGGTGTAACAGTCATATCCAGAAAGAATTCACATTGGGCTCAAAATTAAAACAATAAGTGGTGGTGACAGTTTAGAGTCACCAACAAGGTGAGGATGCAAGAGCAAGAGGAGATAAGAGCAGCCAGAAGCTCAGACCAAGGAATTGTTTGAATATGGGGAGGGAGATGTGGCTGAAAGGGATGCTAGAAACGTAACACATGAGAACAGACAGAGAACACAGGCTCCTAGACCCATTCCAGCTCAGTTACTCCAGGAAAGCTGCCCAACATGGGGACTGCTTTCATTTTACTCTTGAATTTTAAAATGAAATGAAATAAAACAATGCTTTAGAGACAATATTTTGGAACTAGGGGTTGTTGAATATTCCCATATACCAGAGACAAGGAAGGAGGGACAAAAATGTTTTACAGCAGGACAAAATATTACCAGTCTCATAAAAATAGGAGAGACTTTCCTCTCTAAATCCTTCTAGAACTTCCCCCAACAAACACGAAGTACCCTGTTTTTTTTTTGTGTGTTGTTGTTGTTTTTTTTTTTTTTTTTTTTTTACAGAAAATAATGACAGAGAAAGACAATCTTGACCTATACTCATGAACTGAAAAGAAAATAGCCCACAAGGATCAACCCTAACACCAAACGAAGCTCTCTTTCCTGGGAGTCTGACTTTACCCAGGGAGACAAGGTCTAGTCATGATAAGGTTCAGAGAGCGGCAAGAGAGCTGAAGCTTGCTGCTGCTCCTGCTAAGAAAGCAGAAGCTACACAGGGCTGGGGACCTAGCACTGCCCTGCTGGAACACAGGCTGCCAGGAGCAAGCCTAGCGATGGTGCTGGGGGAAGTCTGGGTAAAGCCATGACTGACTATAGCATCAAGTAATGCTTGCCTTTATCTATCTCTCACTTTGCTGGAAACAGAAAGGTGTCTCTATGGCAGTAGGGGTTGGTGGCCTCAGTTTCAATGTATGAAAAAAAAAAACAAAAAACCCAACTCTTGCTATTATTATTCCTTAAAAGAATACCTATTCTTTGGTGTAAAACTCAGGTGGTAACACATACAGAATCAGTATTATTAACTATACACTTATTATATAAGATTTTTTTTTAAAAGGTGATTTATGGCTATGTAGTAGTGATGGTGGTACATGCCTTTAATCCTAGGAAGCAGAGGCTGGCGGATCTCTGTGAGTTCGAGGCCAGCCTGGTCTATACAGCATGAGCTCCAGGACGGACAGGGCTACACAGAGAAACCTAATCTTGAAAAACCAAAAAACCAAAAGAAAGCTGACTGTTATAAGAACAGAAAAAACTCAAAGAAAGATCTGCAATGCTTTAAAAAAAATAGTAATTACTTAAAAATTATAGTTAATGAAATTTAGTGGAAAACAAGTACAGGTCTTTTCAAAGTAAGGACAGGCTAAAAAAAAAAAAAAAAAAAGAGGCAGATTCCCAATATAATGCCGTTCCTCCTAGTAAAGAAAAATCTCTAAGCAGAATAAATGGTATTTTAACTTTTTAATAAATATTTCATTTTTTTGTCAGTATCAAATTTCTTGTGTATTATATAAGTGAAAAGTTGTACCATAACTGCTTATTTCTTAGACTAGGCAAAGAAAGATACTTCAGTATTGGGACAAATGATAAGGCCCATTTGTACTAAGGAAAACAGCATTCACTGGGTTCATAAAAAATCAAGCATTCACAAAAAAAAAAAAAAAATCCCCCAGCCTTCCCCCCAAAAATCAAACTAAATCTTAAAGGGTCAAAAAAGAGCTGGAGAAGGACTCTAATTACACATTAACCTGAAAACAATAACTGCTATTGAACAACTTCCCCCCTAGACATCTGAAAGTTTCTAAGTAGAGGAACTCCCTTTGTAATTTCCCCCACTGCCAAGTCTCAAAATAAAGCAGAAATTAAAGGAAAAACAAAATAAAACACCCTCCCCCCCAAGTTAAAAACAACCTCAAACAGGAAACTGGATCTTTTGAAAGTAAAGTTCAGTTAACCAGAGTTACTATAACATTTGATTCTGCATGGAGTAGAATGAAAAGTAATCTAGCATGCCTGACAGGAAGGACTCAACATGGGAGTGCCAGGAGCTGGAATGTGTAGGAGGCCAGTGTACTGGCCAGGGCTGGGAACTGCTCAGCTAGAGAACGGACAGGGTTTACTTGCCTGTTTGAATAATCTCATTTCCATTTATGACCTGTAATTTAACACAGTGGAGATATCACTTGCAATAGTAACTAGGCGGCTGCTTTGTTCTTCATAGGAAGAAGCCCCTCTCTGCTCTCCATCTAGTCACAGGGAGAGATCCAGGAGTTGCAAGACCTCATGGTTGGGGGTGAAAGGTGCCATACTTTAAGAATATGTGTGTGTGTGTGTGTGTGTGTGTGTGTGTGTGTGTGTGTGTGTGTGT